TCCGTCCTGTGCTAGTCTCTCCGTCCTGTGCTAGTCTCTCCGTCCTGTGCTAGTCTCTCCAACTGTCCTGGGCTAGTCTCTCCGTCCTGGGCTAGTCTCTCCGTCCTGGGCTAGTCTTTCCGACTGACCCAGGTGTATCCTGGTGTAATTTTCCATGTCACGTTTCCAGATTTTTCTCGGTCTGCCTCTCTTCCTGCTATTTGGATTCCGTGTGAGGGCCTGCCTTGTTATCCTGGATACAGGCTTCCTGAGTGTGTGGCCAATCCATTTCCATTTTCTCTGGAGGATCTCTACTTCAACTGGCAGTTGATTTGTCCGTAGCCATAGAACATCGTTTCAGATGGTTTTAGGCCAGCGAATTAGCAGGAACTTTCTGAGGCATGCGTTTATAAATGATTGTATTTTCTTCTTATTTATAGCAGTTTTTCTCCATGTCTAAGCTCCATGGAGTAAAACAAATTATACTAGTGTGTTGAAGAACCGGATTTTTATTCTAAGAATATCTCGACTTCTTGTACGGTGTGTTTCATGTGCCAATGTTATCAAATGGAAAATGAGTGTTTGGTTATAATTATTTTTTTAAAGTAAAAGTAATGGAAATATATTGAAAATTAGCCTTAAATTCACAATTTATTTTCAAGTTCTCTGCATTTGCGAATTTTATAACATTATTAAGACTTAAATAAATTGAATTTTTAGAATCGATGTTATAAAATTTGCAAATTGACTTTACGGCCGCCATGATGGTAAAATCTATAGGGGAAAAAAAACGTTTTTACACATGTCAACAACAATGAACGACCCCAATTCGTTAAACTCGACTACCTCTAAGTTATGATGTAGTTACATTACACTTCTATGCGTATGTGTGTTCATGACGGTTTAATATACGTTTGAATAAAGATGATGTAAATGTATGTCTCTGTCACATGTAATGGTTTCAGGACACGACACATCCATCATTACATTGATCAGCTGGTTGAGCTCTCACAACTATCACGTGACTGACCTTAAACTTGGCCATTCAGCCCAGCATTGAGAGCTCTTGTGGCTCGTGGGGGGAGGGGGGTCACTGAAGCGTGTCGAGTGAGAGCGGGGGTCTCGGGGTGTCTAGCAGATTACAAACACTCTGTCCTCCCCCCCCCCATACTAAACCCTACACCTGTATCTGCCCCCCCCCCCAACTAAACGCTACACCTGAGCTCTCCCACATGTTTCACCACTCACCGATATCCCACTAAGCCTAATTAAGCCTAATTAAGCTTAATTAGCACAACGTCTACTCTAAACATCGCTCTCTAAAATTAATTAATATTTTAATTTGATTAGCATGAGCCAGTGTACATCCAGCCATAAGCCGAACCATGTCGATAGAACATGAGGATCAAGTGTTGGCTGAGAACACAAATATAGGAATAAAATGTTAACATAAGAGACAATGATGGTCTATGAATAATACGTCATTCATGTCCCAATCAATGTGGTATAAAAACTACGTGTGACAATGGACAGATTAAATGTTAGACTGTGAAATCTAGTCGGAGATAACGGTTAAACTGGCCGGCATAGTCTGAAGGAAAAGTGGCAGAGTTGAAATTTTACACAGGTAAAGTTTAGAGAACTACGTAATAGGTCTATCCATTTTTAAATCTCTTTTTTAAATTTTGGCTTTCAAAATCATGAAATCAATCAATGGATGATAGTGTTTTGAACATGAAAAATATAAGTGATTATCGTTAAAACATACTGCAATTTAGATAACACATTATTTACTTTTAACAAGTCGTATAAAAATATAAAATATATTTATGTTTTTTGTCAGTTGAAATTTTAAAAGTTAAAGCATGGTGTAATTACTGAGTGCGTCTGTCATATTTTAGACTCGATTATAACCTCAGTATATCTGTATATAACCTCAGTATATCTGTATATAACCTCAGTATATCTGTATATAACCTCAGTATATCTGTATATAACCTCAGTATATCTGTATATAACCTCAGTATATCTGTATATAACCTCAGTATATCTGTATATAAACTCAGTATATCTGTATATAACCTCAGTATACCTGTATATAACCTCAGTATACCTGTATATAACCTCAGTATATCTGTATATAACCTCAGTATATATGTATATAACCTCAGTATATCTGTCCCCTGTTAGACGTACTCAGACCATGACGTCAGCAACATGTCTCATCATCTGTTGGATCGTGTGTTTGATGGATGCCAGGGCCAGCATGGATTACACCCAGTCCTTGCTAGATGCAGTAGAGTGCGGCTCAGCCAAGCCTAACCCTAACGGTCACACCATCTCACTCCAGGAGCCCCAGTCCCCCGGGCCGTTCCACGATCTGACAGCCGCTGAACTTTTCCAGGTAAATATTTGTGGTTCGAATCTCAGTCAGTTGTGGGGAGGGGGAGTGGTTGAACCGTAGCGTGAACCAGCACAGCTTAAGTTACAAGTCAGACGGTACCTAAACTCATGAGTCTACTCAGTACTAATAGGTACCTGGCGCTGACAAGATTTCATCGACCACTTAGAACATGTATATGTCATGCCCACTGGTAAATAATCAAACAATATTAAAATTTGTATCACTATTAAATTAAAACGTGATTATATGTACGGTAAAGAGCTATATCAACAACTTAACGCCGCCCTCATATTATGACACTGTTATAAAGGTTGAACATCGCATCTAGTACATTGTTCTACAGATTAGGAACTTTCTAGAAGCAGATCCCGACATACGAGCGGCCAAGTCTAGCACTGCTCAGGTCAACTCAAGCTACATTTACATGGTGGATCTGTATCTGCCGCCTAAAGCTCAGATGCTGGATTACCTGGACAACTCAGGTGTGTAGTGTGTATGTCAGGTGTGAGTGTATCTGTCGGGTGTGTAGTGTGTCAGATTTATCTGGTGTGTAACAAAGCGAGTCACGTGACCGTGCAAGCACCATGTACCCCCAGGTGCCCGCCCTCCCCGCATGGCTCGTGTCCTGATGAGCCGCGGTGACCTGAGCCCACCAGTCCTGGAGGAGCACGTGTGTGGCCCCCTGCCTCACGTGGTCAGCTGTCGTCTGCTGCGTCACGCCAACAGACGGAACCCGGTGGAGTTTTCGTTGAGGTCAGTTAACATGTTCGTCTTCACTCGTATCGCAAGGTCAAGGTCAGTTAACATGCTCGTCTTCACTCGTACCACAAGGTCATCATCCGTCGTTAGAGATTCCTTAGAGATTCTTTAGAGATTCTTTAGAGATTCTTTAGAGATTCTTTAGAGATTCTTTAGAGATTCTTTAGAGATTCTTTAGAGATTCTTTAGAGATTCTTTAGAGATTCTTTAGAGATTCTTTAGAGATTCTTTAGAGATTCTTTAGAGATTCTTTAGAGATTCTTTAGAGATTCTTTAGAGATTCTTTAGAGATTCTTTAGAGATTCTTTAGAGATTCTTTAGAGATTCTTTAGAGATTCTTTAGAGATTCTTTAGAGATTCTTTAGAGATTCTTTAGAGATTCTTTAGAGATTCTTTAGAGATTCTTTAGAGATTCTTTAGAGATTCTTTAGAGATTCTTTAGAGATTCTTTAGAGATTCTTTAGAGATTCTTTAGAGATTCTTTAGAGATTCTTTAGAGATTCTTTAGAGATTCTTTAGAGATTCTTTAGAGATTCTTTAGAGATTCTTTAGAGATTCTTTAGAGATTCTTTAGAGATTCTTTAGAGATTCTTTAGAGATTCTTTAGAGATTCTTTAGAGATTCTTTAGAGATTCTTTAGAGATTCTTTAGAGATTCCATAGAGATTCCTTAGAGATTCCTTAGAGATTCGTTAGAGATTCCTTAGAGATTCGTTAGAGATTCCTTAGAGATTCCTTAGAGATTCGTTAGAGATTCCTTAGAGATTCCTTAGAGATTCGTTAGAGATTCCTTAGAGATTCCTTAGAGATTCGTTAGAGATTCCTTAGAGATTCCTTAGAGATTCCTTAGAGATTCCTTAGAGATTCCTTAGAGATTCCTTAGAGATTCCTTAGAGATTCCTTAGAGATTCCTTAGAGATTCCTTACTTACACTGGACAGTTGTCAGCTGTTATTTTATGTTGGTCGTTTGGGCCCTAATCTAACTTATAACAACGTTCTTCAGAGAGTTTTGTTTGGAGAGGGTTAGATAACACAAAAATCATCGCTTCTACTGTTTTCAATATATTCATGTTCCTGTATAATGGATATAAGTTCGATAACACACAAAAATATCAAATCCAACAACAAAAAATAATTAAATCCGACAAAAAAATCATTAAATCCAACAACAAAAAATAATTAAATCCGACAAAAAAATCATCAAATCCAACAACAACAAAAATTAAATCCGACAAAAAAATCATCAAATCCAATAAAAAAAAACATCAAATCCAACTAATCCAACAAAAAAATCATCAAATCCAACAAAAAAAATCATCAAATTAACACAAAAAATCAAATCCGATTTCTTCGAGACGAGCCGGTTCTGTATTATGATCCAAGTAGAGTAAGATAGATCATTTATGGGGTAGTAGAATATTATAAACATAACAACGTTTGAAATTTTATATAAGTGGACATAACATAAATAACGCAAAGGTTGTAAGTAACTTTTATATAATTTATAAATTTATATTTTAATGTGTTCGCAGAGCTTTCAATCAAGTCGAGTTTAACGCTATTTACAAATTGATATGGGAACCATTAGATAAACAGGTAAAGAGATTTGATAAAGTACCAAAGAGAGACAGAGACTTGAGGGGGGGGGGGGGGGTAGGGGGGTAGAGGGGGTAGGAAAGAAATAGAGCGAAAGAGACGTTTTTGTAAAGCTGTTTGTCAAAAGCACCATTGACCTCATGCAATGACTGTCAAACTTGACTTAAACTCGCCATGACTGTCACACTTGACTTAACCCCGGCATGACTGTCTCCCACCCAGCTCTCCCCGCTGTTCAGAGAAAGTTTTAACGCCACAACCACCAACTGTCTGGCCAACACCGTCGACTGTCTGGGATACAACCCCATCCCCGTGGGGACGGGCCTCCACGGTGACGTCAACAAGCGGTGAGTACCTGGCTCTATCGCACTCCACGTGCACGACACCTGCACTGATGCACGTCACCAACACAAACATGAATGTAATTAATGTAATATTACCAAAATGAATCTGGTACACCAAAAAATGTTTCCACAACACGTCCTTATATCTCTTCTAACCGATGCTGACTCACACAGGAAGATGTGGCTGTTTGGTATTTATTCCGTCATGTTTTACTCGCTCCACCCAATCGACTTTGCCGTCTACTGTGACGTCAGCGGTTCGGATCCAAGCCAGTGGAGGATTGAGAAAGTTTGGTACGCGGGGCGGGTGTATGACACGGTGGACCAGTTGGTGGATGGATACAAAACTAACACGTAGGTTGATATCATTCAACATTAACACGTAGGTTGATATCATTCAACATTAACACGTAGGTTGATATCATTCAACATTAACACGTAGGTTGATATCATTCACATCTAACACGTAGGTTGATATCATACACATCTAACACGTAGGTTGATATCATACAACATCAATACGTAGGTTGATATTATTCAACATTAACACGTAGGTTGATATCATTCAACATTAACACGTAGGTTGATATCATTCAACATTAACACGTAGGTTGATATCATTCAACATTAACACGTAGGTTAATATCATTTACAGCTATGTTTCCGTTAAACATTAGTATAGAATATTTCATGCATTGTATAATTGATTAACATTTTGCAAGCTTTATAGCATGATGTTTATTTGCCTTATAAAATATGTCGTTACAACTGAATAGAATTTTAATGAAAGCTATTTTATTAGCTCCCATAATTACTTGAGATCTTTGCTACCAATTAGTCTCTTAAGTCATACCAATCTATCCCAGGATCCCAAAGGTGAAGGTCACCAAGCCACGAGAGAGTCCCGACCTGTTCTCTACCCTCTACAGACGTGGCCAGCCGGTGCCAGAGAGGCCACAGCGTGCACCTGTACAGGTGGAACCAGACGGCAAGAGGTACTCACTCAGGGACAGAAAGGTTCGTACAGACGGCAAGAGGTACTCACTCAAGGACAGAAAGGTATACTGAACGTCTTATGTTTACATCCCGCTTAACCCTAATGCATCTAGGGACAGTAACTCTAGTCTGAGCAACATCTAGGGACAGTAACTCTAGTCTGAGCAACATCTAGGGATAGTAACTCTAGTCTGAGCAACATCTAGGGACAATAACTCTAGTCTGAGCAATATCTAGGGACAGTAACTCTAGTCTGAGCAACATCTAGGGACAGTAACTCTAGTCTGAGCAACATCTAGGGACAGTAACTCTAGTCTGAGCAACATCTAGGGACAATAACAAAACTAAGCACAACAAAAACACAACACAAACATAACACAAACAAAACACAACACAAACACAACACAAACACAACACAAACACAATACAAACACAACACAAACACAAACACAACACAAACACGATACAACACAACACAAACACAACACAGATACAACACAAACGCAACACAAACACAGCACAAACACAACACAAACACAACACAACACAATAAATTTAAGTCGTTACATAAACAAACCCTATTCTATTACTTATAATAAGACAATACGATCCAATGTAAAAGCACTGCGTGGTTTGATGTTTACTTTTATGGTTCCAAAATCTATAGCGATGACGGAAGAAAGAACTGACACACTACCAGCAGAGTTATGTTATATTTAACATCGCTGACATATTATGTTTTCGCTGTGTGATGCTTGACTAATGTTTAACGAGTGAATGCTTGACACACTGGACTAAAGCCACATTTGACCACCAGGTGGAGTACATGGGCTGGACCTTCAACTTCCGGATGTCAGCACTGACTGGACCTTCGCTCTATGACGTCAGGTTTAAAGGGGAGAGAATCGCTTACGAGCTTGGTCTGGCTGAGATATCGGTGTTTTATTCCGGTGGCGCCCCTTTGTCCGTGAGTGAAGCAAAGACACATTTTTAGATTATTTTTTTCATCAACATATCGACGATATTCAATACTACACTACGCCCTCCTAGCTAGCGATGACCGTTACACAAATAATCCAATAGTCAACCCAGTTCGGAATTTACAAATTCAAAGCAGAAAAATTAGAAAGTATCAAATGTAAATGTTTGAACAATCGTTCTAATTGTTTAAAATATATTGCTTCAGAAACAATGGGCTTTTTAAAAAAAAATTATGAAAATAATCTTTTTAAACAAATCGGCTCATGCATATCAACTGCCATGTGAAGTATTTTCTCGAGTAAAATAAAATCTTTGATTCCCCGCCAACCAGCAAATAACCAACTACGTAGACAGTGGCGTGCTACTGGGGTCTCACTCCAAGTCCATGGTGCCTGGTGCTGATTGTCCAGAGTTCTCTACCTTGGTCAACCAGGTACTGTCACAGCACACATCACACATTACACATCATCACAACATAACAGTTACTGTCTCACAATACATCACACATCATTAAAATATAACAGCACACATCACATAATCAAATAAATATAATTGTTACCCTCCTTTTTCAATAAGTGAAAAAAAACGTGTTGATGTTATTGGTGTAGTTCAACAAAATTTTCACTTCTCACAACAAACCGCTTGAATTCCCAGACATTTTGGAGCCAACACACGGATGTCCCGGGGACATTTGACGCCAGTTTTTGTCTGTTTGAGTTTAACAACGGCTACCCACTCCGACGGCACTCGTCTTATGAGAGCGACAGCGGCCTGTTTTACGGCGGGATGTTGGATTCTGTGCTCATTCTCAGGTAAACACTAGATATGTGGACATACTCAGGTAAGCATCATATATGTGCCCATACTCATGTAAACATTAGATATATGCCCATAATGTGACCATACTCATGTAAACATTAGATATGTGCCCATAATGTGCCCAAACTCAGGTAAAAACTAGATATGTGGACATAGTCTTAGTAAACCTGGTCTAAGTATTGATGCACATTTAAACCGCACACATCAGACCAAGAGGTTAGACATACATAACAACATTACGGCACAATACTACAAAAACTAAGTTTTTCAAGAATAGACGTCTTTAACTTAAATGTTTATGGTTGATAATTTTATATTGCGTTAAACATTAATTTAGATTTTACGTCTAAACTTTTAGATCTGCACTAACTATCGGCAACTATGATTACGTCATTGACTTTGAGTTTCATCAAAATGGCGTTATCGAGGTTCGATTGATGAGCACAGGTAAGACAGAACGTACTTAAATAACAACACATTTAACTGGTCAGTTCTTTTTGTGTAGGTCTCTCTCACTCACCTCACACTACACACAACACGATTGGTAGCTATAAACTTTAGGACATGTGACATGTACTGAAAGAGAAAACGTGAAAGTGATAAACCAACGTGAAGACTAATCGAGTCTCGAGTCTTCAACCACGGCATATAAATATTGTATGGTCAACACTATGCCTGGTTCTCTAATTAAATGAGGAGCACACGAGAGGTCAGTAGGTGGAGGCACGTCCTACAGACAAGACCACAGGATCAAACTTTAGATATAATTTGGGGAACAAACACTCCAGTTCCATCCCCAACCAATCACAAGTCCAGTATACTACAGATCAATTAAACCAATCAAATAAAAGTAGTTTAACCAATCAGACATATCTATAATACCTTCTAGCTGTATATCTAATTCAGATTTTATTTTTTGTTATGTTACATCCAAACCATGTTTTATTGTTGAATTTCTAAGGTTACATCCAAACCATGTTTTATTGTTGAATCTCTAAGGTTACATCCAAACCAGCTTTTACTCAGAGCCGGATAAGCCGTACGGCTTCCGGCTGCAGAACACAATAACCGGCAACATCCACCACCACATGGCCCACTTTAAAGTTGACCTTGACATTGGTGGCCCATCAAACCGTTACGAGACCCTAGACATCTTGCCAGACGCTGTCCCATTAAAACAGGTTCAGACATTTTTTTTATATTAATTAATTTGTTTTATAGTGATTTTTATATTGAACAAGTTGAGGTACTTAAATATGAACAAAGTGTAATACACCAATAGTTATCCTGAAATAAATTTGAAACAATATATGTAATTAAACAAGCACAACACATACGAGCCATGTAATTAAAATACTTTCCATTTCATCCCAGACAAGTCAGAAATCGCCACCCTCGTGTTTCTCTAGGCTCTACCTAAAGTACACTTTGGTCCGCTAAAATCAAACACACAATCTCAGATGTTCAGATTAGGTACACAACATTAATCAATAATTATAAATGTAATTATAAATGTAATTATAAATGTAATTATGAAAACTTGCCGCCCCAGGACCCGAGTGTGACGTACAACCAAATGAAGTTTAGACGTACCCTGGTGAAGACTGAGAGAGAGGCTGTCTATGACTACAACTTTACCAGACCAATGTATCATGTGGTTCATAGCAGGGCTGGGAAAACAAAGTTTGGTGAAATTAAAGCCTACAGGTGGGTGGATGGTTTTATCTTAGTGAAAACAAAGTTTGGTGAAATTAAGGCCTAGAGGTAGGTTGGGAGGGGGGGGTTATCTTAGGGAAAACAAAGTTTGGGGAAATTAAGGCCTACAGGTGGGTGGAGGGGTTCTATTATATATATATATATATATATATATATATATATATATATATATATATATATATATATATATATATATATATATATATATATACATATATATATACTAGCCGTCCTAGCCAGGACCTGCACTGGCCTCTGTGAAAAAACCGATCTGTAAATTACCATGACTTGTGTGTTTATTAAGCAGAATATACCCGCCATTGCCCGGGTTTAGGAAATATATTACTTTTCGAATTAACCCTAACCACAAATAACCAAAACCAAAACACACAAAAAACGCAAAAATAACGCAAACATAACGCATACATAATGCACACATAACGCAAACACAAACACAAGCCTAACCACAAACGCAAACCCAAATACAACCACAAAAACAAAGAGAACACAAACACAAACGCACACACAAACGGAAATACAAAAAGAAACACAAACGCAAACCTAAACGCAAATAATTACTCAAAATAATGCAAAAGTAAACGCTTACATAAACACAAGCTTTATGCAAACATAAACGCAAAGTGCTCACAGTCTAGCTTGGGTCATATATATGTAAGTGTACTTATTTCCTAATGTAAACTTGGTTCTGTACCGAAGCTTCACTTATCCAATTATTCCATTATGAGCTTGCTTGTGTTGCTAGGATACAGATGAACGGGATGTCCTACAACCTGCTACCACGTGACCAGGGCAATGAGGGCACCATCCCCTGGGCACGGCACCAGATGGTGGTCACCAGACACAAGGACGACGAGATCTGGTCCAGCTCCAACTACGCCATGTTTGACGGCCTTGACCCCGTGGTCAACTTCACCAAGTTTTACCAGGATGACGAGAGTATCGTTGACCAGGTTAACTGATTGGGATTTCCTGTTTAAGCTTTTGTTACTAATTATAACTGAAGTTGATTCGACTTATATCAGTCTGTGCTGTTATTCCTCATATAATGAGACCATATAAAGGACCACACCTAACCTTCAACTATCTTCAAACCTAAAGCTGTGTTTATTTAAATTCTAACTCTACTGTACAATCAGAGGCGTAGCAACCCATTCCGGCGCCCGGGACGAACAACGCATTTTCCGCCCCCTCCCCTATTTTATCAAGTTATTTAAGGTAGCGAAAAAGTGCCCCCCCCCCCCATCTTCCACTCACGCTGCTGTAACAAATTTTCTTTTGGCGCCAAACAGGCGATGTAGAAAACAATGCAATCAGTCACCTGACGCAAGTATCAGTCTATTTTCTTACCTTTCAGGTAATGCAGGTCAAAATCATATTTTGTTTACCCAATTTTACGCCCCACCTACTGGACCCTCCCCTAGCTACAACCACCCAATCCTTTAATGTAGTTTCCCAGCTATTTTTAGTCAACCTCGATTGAATAGATCGTGATGTCATAGTGTTTGATAAGTTCAGGCTGTTTACATTGTTTTCCCACGTTTTCTTTAACTTGCTTTCGCGTCTGTTTGTTTGTTTGTCTTTCCATCAAATCTTGCGAACGAAATTTCGGGCACTTCCAAGTTAGCTAGCGCGCTGAAATTTTCAAGGAAGCTTTGTTTCCGGTGACAATAGAATATTCAATTATTATTATTACGAAATTGATCCATGGAAACATTTTATTGATCATTTAAGACTCCTATTGATTTGTACAAAAAAGGGACATAACCTAGTAATTGTAATTTGATAAAAACAAGGTTCGGTACTTTCCCTCTTCTGGCTTACTACTTTTTAGTTCAAGCAGAAAACGTGGTTTTTTTTTTAAACTTTAATGATAATTATTTACATTTTTCGACAATTTTTTTAAATATAATAATTATAAAACGGTTGGATTTGGAGATAAGAGATAGGGTAGCAAGTCCTTAAAAAAAAGTTTATTGTGGTGTGTTAATGTTTGTATAGTCAGCCAGTGTGTTACTGTTGCTGTTCTCTAGAGAGTTGTTTTTTTACGGTGGTTAGAACTTTAGCGGATAATTATCCATACATCATTTTCTCTTCTATAGAACTACAGGTAATTAATTATTGTAACTAAATCTATTATCTATTGTTTAATTCAGGGGTCTCCAAACTTTTCAGTCCGAGGGCCGCATTAACTATTAAATTTTAGTTCGGGGGCCAGTTTCTTTTAGGCATGTCTTTGATTTTTCTGGGCAAAGTTCCTCAGCCATCACCAACAAACGAATTTTCCTTGGATAAAATGATATCCTCGGGCCGGATGAGAGGACTTCGCGGGCCGTATCCGGCCCGCGGGCCGTAGTTTGGAGACCCCTGGTTTAATTGAATGTAGTACAAGCAGTCATTTGTAATAGGTACTTAGATAATAGTATCTAAGTATGTACACAATATCGCAAGCCATGAACATGTACACGAGTTTAAGTTCTGTGTAAGCATCTTACATGAGATGACTTCCTCTCTCTACTGGGGAACACTCGCAGGTAACGATCTGGGTGAAACACTGTAGTACTCGAGTGTAGCTTTAATGTAGCTCTACAAGGAACACACCCACATAACTATGGTTTTTAATTTTGACCTTTGACCTTCCACATGATAGGGCATATAGCTGTCTTGCATTTGACTTTTACCTCTGATAGAATATAAGGCTTTATTGTTTGACCTTTGACCTGACAGGACCTGGTGTTCTGGATGACCTGTGGTATGCACCACATCCCCCACACCGAGGACCTGCCCAACACCCCCACAGTTGGCAATCACCTGACCTTCTACCTGCTGCCCTACAACTACTTTGACGAGTGTCCGTCTGTCTCGTCACGTGACTCCCTCCACATCATACACCGGGACAGGTCAGACACCACTAAAGGTGTTTTTGTAGACAGGTGAGTCAGACACGACTAAAGGTGTTTTTGTAGACAGGTGAGTCAGAAATGACTAAAGGATCAGGTGTTTGAACAAGTCGTAGAATTCAGGTGCTTCATTATCTGCTAGCTGAAGTGAAAGCTCCGAATTTGTGGCTGTCATGTATAAGCTGTGCTGTTGACATCTGTGTAGTGGGTCGTGTGTGGTGTGTCGTGTATAGTGTGTTGTGAATCGAGCTGATTGTCTCAACAGTTCAGCTTTAAAGAACAATGCATATTGTAAGCTTGGTCAACACTTTCATTTGATTTATTAAAACCAAACAGTATTTGAGTTGATGGAAGTAACTTTTAATAGCGTGCGCATTATTTTTTAGAGTGATACAAGCATACATCTGCAATATATATATATATATACGATGTCATTTACTTTACAGAACTGAAAGCTCCCCTTACTCCAAGGATATTATTAACACGGTTTCAATTTTCCTATTCTCTATCAGGAACGGTAACTCCAGAGACCAATGTCTTACACCCAGACCAAACCTGGAAGAGCTTCTGGAGGAAAACCCTGACCTTGTCCTTGAGAGCAGACGGCAAAATTTTATTTATTAAACCACAGCAGTTGATGGTAACTTTCACAACTGGAATAAACTTCTGCTTCATGCTGGAACTATCAATTCAATATTTTTCTAATTGTTTCGTTAAAAATAAATGTAATTCGGCACTATGTTTTATTGCTCGTAAGGCCATTCAACGCATGTTTTCGAATAAAATATTTTACCGATCTATATTTAAACTGTAAAGAAGTTACCAGCTGTGTATGTAGATCAGCATTAAAAAAATGATAATGTTACGATAATTACTAGCATCATTGAATACGGTGTCTTTACTGTAACTTTGAAAGCGTCTCCAGTCTAATAATATAGGTACGACTACACCAGATTCTGCTGCATGGACATTAAAAGTTATGTACACAACTTTCACTGGGTAACATCTCTAGCGAATTCTTTCAGCGATTTCTACAAACAATTTGCGAGAAAAGTTTGGCGCGAAATTTTTTTGTGGCCAAAAAATAGAAGCAGAAGTTGGCTATGTGGCACGAGTCAGCGAGTATGTAGTGAGTGTAAAATATCAGGAGCCCGTTGGTGCCAAAATCCACCCCTGCACCTATCATGGTGCTGGAGATGACTATAGGGGCAGTCAGAGCCAGAAATACGACGGCGGACACCACAAGTAGAACACTGAGGCTCCACTCAAATCTTCTCCTGTGTTTTAGACTGGAGGCCTGGGCGCCACGGTTGACCTTGACGTGAGCCAAGTGACCGTTGACCTTGAGGTGAGCCAATCTCTTGTGAATGGAGTGAGACGCCAACAGCACTCGCAGAACGGGGATAGTAAAACACAGGATTAGGATGAACGGGATAATGACCAAACAAAAGGATGACATAAGATTATGTCCTAGTTTAGAAATATTTTTCATTTGACACCCATCGTCTGTAGTTATTATATCATAAGTAAAAATCAGAACAAAATTCACACACGATATACCGATCACAGCCATGTTGGTTTTCTGTTTTGTAATCAGCGCCGACTTTTTTAATGGATAAACCAGAGCTACACATCTCTCTAGGCCTATCAGGGTCAGGACCCAGTTGGTCATGGTCGGCAGGTAGAGGGTGGGCAGCATGATCAGTCTACAGCTCCAGGCTGAGAGGGTTCCGTACATGGGCCAGGTGAGGCGAGTGATCAACTTGTCTACCAGAGACAGGCCATCGAAGCAGGCCAGGTAGTTGACGAGCAGATCTGAGGGTCCCAGAGGTCTCATCCTGTGAATGGTCAGCACCATCAGGCCGTTGGCGGGCAGACACAGCACACACAGAGCACATGTGTAGTACCTGAACAGTGTGTCGACAAGTTCCAGGTTAGGAACATCTCTGGGGAACATACGATGTTTTGTTGATGTCAGTTATTCAGAATATTTTTATGTTGGTGTCAGTTATTCAGAATATTTTTATATTGGTGTCAGTTGTTGGAATATTTTTATATTTGTGTCAGTTGTTGAGAATATTTTTATATTGGTGTCAGTTGTTGAGAATATTTTTATATTGGTTACAGTTGTTGAGAATATTTTTATATTGGTTACAGTTGTTGAGAATATTTTTATATTGGTTACAGTTGTTGAGAATATTTTTATATTGGTGTCAGTTGTTGAGAATATTTTTATATTGGTGTCAGTTGTTGAGAATATTTTTATATTGGTGTCAGTTGTTGAGAATATTTTTATATTGGTGTCAGTTGTTGAGAATATTTTTATATTGGTGTCAGTTGTTGAGAATATTTTTATATTGGTGTCAGTTGTTGAGAATATTTTTATATTGGTGTCAGTTGTTGAGAATATTTTTATATTGATGTCAATGGTTGATAAACATGAAACATGAGGCGTTATTTTAAGTTATTTAAAATTTAGAAAAAGATCATGTTATCGAAGTATCTTATCGGTTGTTGTGATCAATTCGTCATCGGTTTATACACTTAACTGTCTTCAGCTTGGATGTAGAATCGTGTACACGTCAATCGTAAGAGTTCTTGTGTGTGGAAACTGTAACAGTTCTTGTGTGGAAAGATTTAAAACAGTACTCACGCGGAGGTTGACGTCACGTTCATGAAAAGTTCTGTGTGGTTCATCTGCCAGGGGTCGGTCACTCTATCCTGCCAGGGGTCGGTCACTCTATCCTGCCAGGGGTCGGTCACTCTATCCTGCCAGGGGTCGGTCACTCTATCCTGCCAGGGGTCGGTCACTGTGTCCTGCCAGGGGTCGGTCACTCTATCCTGCCAGGGGTCGGTCACTCTATCCTGCCAGGGGTCGGTCACTCTATCCTGCCAGGGGTCGGTCACTGTGTCCAGCCAACCATTGTCGTCTGCAAGGCTCATGTCTCCTGTATAGTTTTCTGTTGCAGCCATTTTGGCTAAAAATAAATAGCTTTGTAATCAAAACATTCCAGTATTCATTTTCATTTTCTATTCATAATCAGAAATAAACTAAATAACTAAATCATAAACAGTATACTAAACTTCGAACTCTATAAAATAATTTTGTCTTTCATGTTTCCGCCAAAGGTAACATTAAATTGTATAATTACACTAGTTGTTAGTTGTACAGTGGTCAGAGCTAGGGTTATATATTCGAGTAACAAGAATTATCAAATACAATCTCTGCATTTTTTCTATTTATGTGCACGTATAGTTTCCTTTATGTATGAGATTAAAGCATGTTGCCATAGCAACGCCATGCACACACACACACAGACATACACACAGTAACATTGATGCTTGTTTTTGTGTGTCTACATCACGCACACACAGAGAAAACTTGATGCTGTCTTTGTATCTACATTACTGTCACGCAGAGAAATCTTCATGCTTTGTTTACATCATTGAACCTCTCTTCACGGTACGTGTGACGTGCTAGAATCTGTTTGTGGGGATCTGTTTGATCAGCGGGCTATGCAAGTAGCATCAAGGCTTCCTACTACACAAATAACATTTTGTTTTAATATTGTATGTCAAAACACACACTTTGTTTTAATATCGTATTCTGTGTGTGCTGAATCTATTTATCGGCTTTAATTTATTATGGGCGTCTAATAACTATACTGTTCAAGTTTGTTTCGTTTTACTAGTTTTGTTTTTTAATTTATGGTTCCGTTTTTACCGTTCTGAAGTCACACGTTCAAATCCAGTCAGACACTTTATGGGGTAATTTGGCCAATAATATTATTTCTAAATGTTTGTTTGTTGAATACACATGTTGTTATCTACTAGACAAATGTGATCTTTATGTTAATGTTGCTTGTTGTTTGTTTGTCAGACTTACATCACAGTTTCACCTTCAGATTGCAAGAAAAAATATTTAGGATTTTTATACGATTTCAAAACCAGAACATTTTGCTGGCGACCTCACGTCTTCAGTTTTTCACGACCTTTGTGTACTGTTTCTATCTTTGTAATCTTTTTTAATTCAGTGAAGGTCTTTCAGCTCAACTAAATATTCTCTCGGGAGAGAGATCAAACCTACATGAATAAATAATGATGTTTACTTTTTAACTCGGCGCTGGTGGAGTAACTCTCACACTGAATCAATACAGTACTCATTCACACTAAAATCTGGCAACTTCCGAACATAACTTGTGCCAGATTTGTGTTTACTTAAATTCTAAGTTGACACATCTGTTTGGATTATGTGGCACTTGTTTAAACATCTTGTCTTATGTAAGTTTACATTGTTTGAGCAGATGAATCACACACGTTATTCAACACTGATAGGTTAGGGGGGGGGGGTCTACAGGATCTTTTTCTTAAATATCATAATTTGTTTAACTGAAGCGGCACTCGCGTTATCGTAATCACTCGGAAAGTAAAGGGCAATTTCCAGTTACCGGAAATAGCTAAAAAGTCAATAACATACGTATATGATCTTTGCACACACACATACACACACAACATTGCAAAACTGGGGTTTCAGGAATTCTAAGTTGACAAATCAGATCGGATTTTTGTAGCACTTGGTTAAACATCTTGTCATGTGTAGGTTTACATAGTTTGAGCAGAGGAATCACACGCGTTATTTGACAGTGATAGGTTAGGGGGGGGATCTACAGGATCTTTTTCTTAAATATTATAATTTGTTCAACTGAAGCGACACTCACGTTATCGTGTTCACGCGGAAAGTTAATTTCCGAAATAGCTAAAAAGTCAATAACATATTTTAAACATCTAAATTTGTGATTTTGTAATATCAGTAATGACGTTTTCTGTAGTTTCACCATTGTATTGTGGTGCCTTGTGGTCAATCTGTTGGCCTTCCGTTTCTTTCAGACACTTTCCCCCATTAGGCACTTGAAACTTCCGGGTACGGGAGTCGGACTTCCGGGGCGGCGAACTTACGGGGAGGGGGGTTCGGATAATGGTTAAAGTAAATATTTCGTATTAAAAATACTATTACCAGGGGCGGGCAGTAGACGTGCTCCAGTGTGGTGGGGGTCCAAAGTGCCCCCACCCCACCGAAGAGAAACAACTGAAACAACCTCTGTTACCCTGGTGATGTGTTTAAGCAAAATACCAAACAGATGTTTACAGTGATGTGGCGCTAACAAAAACAATACTGGGTGGTTTTCAAACCGATTAGCCGTACCATCATATTCACTGTCGTTCCTACTGCTAGGTTTAGAGTTATAATCAGGTTTAGGTGGGCATAGTGCTGACCACACTATCTCTTCATATGCCAAGGTCATAGAAACAAGTGAACTCTACTTCACTTGCCCCATAGACCGTCAGGTTTGAAATGGAAAACTTTAAACTTATCAGGTTTAGGGCTAGGGTCAGATGACTATTTAGACTGTAAGTATGCTTTCACATATTCTCTGTTCATTATTTTCTAACTGCCAACTAAATGTTTCGCTGCATTAATAGTGATATCTCATGATGCACAACAACAGTCTTATTTTACTCACAAAGAACATTGGCTTGATATGAAATCTAAATGATAGTTTGAATCAACAATAAATATAGGTTTAATGTACATTTTATTTTAATCTGTGTATGTTAATAACATGTTTTATTTTACAAATCTATCACAAAAAAGATATAAGACATTGAAGGAATATACATATGTCTTGTAAATAAAATACCTGCCTATAATTAGAAATTACAATCACTTAGATGTCTTTTTTTATTTTTGTTTACATTATAATTAAAATTACATATTTGTCAGCCTTTATTCTGTGCATTTAAGCTAAATAATATGAAAATAGTTTGGCTTGTTTTATTTAAAAGAAGAATTTTACTATAAAGATGATTTTTTTACTACTCAACTTTTACAACAAAATCAGAAAAAAAGAAAATTTAATATTGCTATCAATTTTATAAATCAGGTTTAATCCAAGTTGATGTTAATGGTGAAACTAAATTGAAAAAAAATGGCAATCTATGGTTAATAAATTATTCAGATTATAAAGATAAAACAATTTCAAGTTAAAAAAAGATTTTAAAAAGTTTGATATACAAGTCAAATATTTGTCATCCCTCTGTATACATTCCTTGTCAAAAACTCCAGAGTTTTCTCTGTTATGCAGGGCCTGAGATAATAATTTTAAAAATTACTATAAAACACTTGCTAGGTAGGTTTTTTTTAAAGTAATATGTTGTAGAATAAAAGATGAACTAGGGCTAAATGTAACAATGATTACATAATGTGGTTACATAGAAGGTACTATGACCTCAGCTGTGGTGGATGCTCGTCTCCAAAGCATTTGTTGAGACTCTAGGAATGCAGTAAACATTCTGTGCTGGATTCTTGTGGGCAGGGGTGGACTTCAGTTGCTGGCTTGATACTACAATAGTAAATTTAAAGCTGACACGTTTTATTTATATCATGTAGCATCAAAAAGTAATCTAATTTTAGTAAAAGGGTAAATGCAGCAGGTTCAAGAAACAATATCAGTTTCTCTCAGGCATCTCTCCAGGGATGGGAGGGGGGAGCCCTCCCTTTCCACATGAGAGAATAGAAGAATATATAATTTCTATAAAAATACTATATATAGGCCTACTTAAACCAGGGTCCACCCCTTTGAGATTTTAAGTGGGCCTTCCCGAACTCTGGAATATTTAATCCCCCACCCCATCCTGTAGAAACTGCCTGAAAGAAACCCTAAAAGAGATGTCACCAAAAGACAGCCTACCACTACACGCTGATGACTCCACTCCTATGTAGTCATATACATCTTTCTCATCCATACGCTCAGACAAATGGTTGTACACATTACTGGAAAAATACATCAGAAAATTGGTATACACATTACTGGAAACATCAGACAGATGGTTGTACACATTACTGGAAAAATATATCAGACAAATGGTTGTACACATTACTGGAAAAATACATCAGAAAATTGGTATACACATTACTGGAAACATCAGACAGATGGTTGTACACATTACTGGAAAAATATATCAGAAAATTGGTATACACATTACTGGAAACATCAGACAGATGGTTGTACACATTACTGGAAAAATACATCAGAAAATTGGTATACACATTACTGGAAACATCAGACAGATGGTTGTACACATTACTGGAAAAATATATCAGAAAATTGGTATACACATTACTGGAAACATCAGACAGATGGTTGTACACATTACTGGAAAAATACATCAGAAAATTGGTATACACATTACTGGAAACATCAGACAGATGGTTGTACACATTACTGGAAAAATACATCAGAAAATTGGTATACACATTACTGGAAACATCAGACAGATGGTTGTACACATTACTGGAAAAATACATCAGAAAATTGGTATACACATTACTGGAAACATCAGACAGATGGTTGTACACATTACTGGAAAAATACATCAGAAAATTGGTATACACATTACTGGAAACATCAGACAGATGGTTGTACACATTACTGGAAAAATACATCAGAAAATTGGTATACACATTACTGGAAACATCAGACAGATGGTTGTACACATTACTGGAAAAATATATCAGACAAATGGTTGTACACATTACTGGAAAAATACATCAGAAAATTGGTATACACATTACTGGAAAAATACATCAGACAGATGGTTGTACACAATTACTGGGAAACTAAAATATTAGTTTCATTGTTTCATTTTGTCTGTTGCAGATTTTATTTTGTAGATAATTTGATAAAGGTACTCATTTTATTAAAGTTTTAAAATAATTTTTAGGTATTATAATGTAATCATGATTTCAGATAATTGTGTTTGATATAAAGTTAATCAGGGTTACACAATGTTTTGACAATGAACATGTTTGGAAACTGAATGGTAAACTAATTTTTATAATCTCAGTCTCCACTTGAAATTTTTATCAGTATTTCTCACCATAGTTAAATTTTTATAGTATTTCAATTTCTTATTTCTTGATAAATTTCTTAATTACTTTTTAAAAACTTAATCATGTAAACCTACAAACATTGTTAAGCTAAATTATAATGTAGCATTGGCAGTCACCTCTTTAGCGTGATGAGTTCTGCTGCCGTAGGATGCTTGGGTTTGTTCCGGTAGGTTCCGTGTCTCCTGGCCCAACAACACACCAGAACCACAACAGTGACGCAGATCAAAACAAACCCAGACAAACTGACACTCAGGCCAATGATCAGATCTGTGTCATCTGACAGTAGTAATGGAAGAAACAATCCTCACAATATAAACATTTTTAATTAAGGTCTAATTAAAACTTTACAAACATATTGTTAAGTATTTGGTCTTAAAATACAGATATTTAACTTTAGCAAAGATACAGGCTAATTATTATACCAGCTTAATTTGAATAACATGATACAAACCATTTTCACTGAGTCTGAAAAAATATATTAATACTTTTAGAAATTAAATGTACGTTTAAAATAAAAACAGCTTACAAATGCTAATCCTATTTAATAATAAGAAAAACATTTAGGCCAAAATACAAATATGATTTATAATCCTAAATAGAGCTACGGCTACTTAAAGTTTTCTTCTTTACTATTTCAGCATTTTAAAAAATATTTTAATGTAATTTTAATTATTAAAATTATTGCAAGTAAAATGTATATTTTACAAAATCATTTTATTTCCAACAAACCTGCAAACTGCATCACTCTTCTGCACCTGACAAATTTCTTTTTCTGAACAAGGGTTAATTTTGCTGCGGATCTCACAAGCATTTTCACTGGCAGCAACTAGAGATAAAAACTACTTGAAAATATCGACCTAAGTGATTGGCTTTGATTATATTTTTTTAAATAAATTAGTTAAGTTTACCTAACAAAAATTAGTTTAGTTTTTCTAACAAAATTAGTTTAGTTTACCTAACAAAAAGTAGTTTAGTTTATCTAACAAAATTAGTTTAGTTTACCTAACAAAAAGTAGTTTAGTTTATCTAACAAAATTAGTTTAGTTTATCTAACAAAAATTAGTTTAGTTTATCTAACAAAAATTAGTTTAGTTAATTAACAAAAAAAACCAGCATGATTTAGCTGCTGCAGTTTATACATAAATAAAGCATTATCGTTTTGTTTTTTTTGTAACAAAAACTTTTTATTATTGACTAACAAAATATTAGAATTGATAATTTAATACTCACAGCTATTACCGGCAGTTAAAATTTGAGTAACATAAGCTGTTGTATTGTCTATGTTAATACCAACATTTGTTTGCATGAAGTTCACCAAAGCCTGGGCTAATTCAAGACCAACATTAGTTTGAGCATTTTGTGGGCTGATGATTGTCTTCAAATACACATGTAGACTGCCAACGCGTAGATCTGTCACTTCAATAAATTTGATGACGCTTGCCTGAAGACTCAGCTTACTGTTCAGCTGGAGACAAGGGCTACATTAATGGTTTTGACTAGCTACACTAGTATTTTATGTAACCTTAGCAACAAATGTGAGAGATTTGTTCAGCTGGAGACAAGGGCTTTATCTAAGTTTGTGACTAGGTACACTAGATTGTATGTAACCTTAGCAACAAATGTGAGAGATTCGGTCAGTTACTGCCAGAATATAGATATATCTCCAACTTATTTTACATTGTTTTGTGCAGTGCGCTGTATAATGAAATCTTAATTTTGGCCAATTTTCAAATGGGTGAATGAATTTTCAGTAGGCGAATTTATTAAAATAATTAAATAATATGCACAGTTTAGGCAAATATATTTGACTTGTGTCTCAGATCTACTTACTTGAGATTCAATTTGGTATTTGATTCTGACAAAGTCAGCAGTGAAACTACTTGTTAAGTTATAGCGTGAAGCATTGATGTTTAAACCTAATGTTGATGTCAAAACTTGATCCTGCAAGGCTGTTAACATAAAAAATATGAATTTTTATTCAGAATAATTATTCAGATAAGATAAATATCTTTATTAAACAATTTTTATCTTATTATTCACTATGATTGGTCATTTTTATTTTCATATATAAAACATGTTAAACAATTATATTAATGATAATATGTGGCAACTTTATTTCTTTTAAATGAAGGTCAATATTGTTGATAATATAGAACTAGAACTAAACGTAATAAAAGATAAACATATTGATCCCTACCCATACACCTGTCACTTGTCACATTGGCCTGTGTGTATCCATTATCACAGTCACATCTGAATGAGCCGATGGTATTCACACAGTGTGAATTCGATTTTTTGTGACATAACTCTGGAATAACTTCACATTCATTAACATCAATATCGCAGTTATGTCCCTTCCACCCAGGCTTACAGAAGCAAGCACCACTGGTTACATTGCACTTTTCTGTGTTTGTTTTTAAACAGGTGCATGCCATCTTGCAGCTGTCACCATAGTAACCATCCTGACAATCTGTCGCAATAAATTTAGTCCAGCATCATGTCCGTACATTTTTTAAATTAAAATATGTTTATTTTTTATTTTTAAAGAAAATAATGAACTGTACCTAAGCTATTTAACACTAAAAGTGATTATTTTAATAAGCAATTGATAAACATTTACTAACAAGATTTTATTATTAGAACATAAATTTGATATCAATAGAATTTAAAAAGTAAAACAAATCATGCTAAATTAGGCCATAGGTTGACATAAAACAGTCTATTGCCAAATCATCATCTTTTCCCATTTGTGCCCCAGACACATGAGGCAGATGAAATAGTGTGTCTATCTAATACTAATTGAATTCCCATTGCCTTACAGGAGAAGACATTTTTAAAGCTATTTTCAATGCACTAAATAGTGTGAATGAAAAGTGCTGCCTGTGGCTACTGGGACAAGATTTACCTGTACAGGTGATGCCATCATCTGTAAGTTCCTGACCTTTTGGACAGATGCATGTATCACGTTGGTTGATGTTGGCACAGTCATAGCTGCAGTTCATTGACCTGTTGGTGCAGGTGCTCTCAACTGTTTGAATAGAGGACTGCAATTAACATGTGACATAATAGTTTGGGTGCTAATGTGCCAATTGATGGGGTGCTAATGTGTCCAGGTATGGGGTGCTAATGTGTCCTGGTATGGGGTGCTAATGTGTCCAGGTACGGGGTGCTAATGTGTCCAGGTATGGGGTGCTAATGTGTCAATTGATGAGGTGCTAATGTGTCCAGGTATGGGGTGCTAATGTGTCCTGGTATGGGGTGCTAATGTGTCCAGGTACGGGGTGCTAATGTGTCCAGGTATGGGGTGCTAATGTGTCAATGGATGAGGTGCTAATGTGTCCAGGTATGGGGTGCTAATGTGTCCTGGTATGGGGTGCTAATGTGTCCAGGTACGGGGTGCTAATGTGTCCAGGTATGGGGTGCTAATGTGTCAATTGATGAGGTGCTAATGTGTCCAGGTATGGGGTGCTAATGTGTCCAGGTATGGGGTGCTAATGTGTCCTGGTATGGGGTGCTAATGTGCCAATTGATGGGGTGCTAATGTGTCCAGGTATGAGGTGCTAATGTGTCCAGGTATGGGGTGCTAATGTGTCCAAGTATGGGGTGCTAATTTGTCCAGGTATGGGGTGCTAATGTGCCAATTGATGGGGTGCTAATGTGTCCAGGTATGGGGTGCTAATGTGCCAATTGATGGGGTGCTAATGTGTCCAGGTATGAGGTGCTAATGTGTCCAGGTATGGGGTGCTAATGTGTCCAGGTATGGGGTGCTAATGTGTCCAGGTATGGGGTGCTAATGTGTCCTGGTATGGGGTGCTAATGTGTCCTGGTATGGGGTGCTAATGTGTCCTGGTATGGGGTGCTAATGTGCCAATTGATGGGGTGCTAATGTGTTCAGGTATGAGGTGCTAATGTGTCCAGGTATGGGGTGCTAATGTGTCCAGGTATGGGGTGCTAATGTGTCCAGGTACGGGGTGCTAATGTGTCCAGGTATGAGGTGCTAATTTGTCCAGGTATGAGGTGCTAATGTGTCCAGGTATGTGGTGCTAATGTGCCAATTGATGGGGTGCTAATGTGCCCAGGTATGGGGTGCTAATGTGTCTAGGTATGGGGTGCTAATGTGCCAGTTGATGGGCTGCTATTGTGTCCAGGTATGGGGTGCCAATGTGTCCAGGTATGAGGTGCTAATGTGTCCAGGTATGGGGTGCTAATGTGCCAATTGATGGGGTGCTAATGTGTCTAGGTATGGGGTGCTAATGTGCCAGTTGATGGGCTGCTATTGTGTCCAGGTATGGGGTGCCAATGTGTCCAGGTATGAGGTGCTAATGTGCCCAGGTATGGGGTGCTAATGTGCCAATTGATGGGGTGCTAATGTGTCCAGGTATGGGGTGCTAATATGTCCAGGTATGGGGTGCTAATGTGTCCAGGTATGAGGTGTTAATGTGTCCAGGTATGGGGTGCTAATGTGTCCAGGTATGGGGTGCTAATGTGCCAATTGATGGGGTGCTAATGTGTCCAGGTATGAGGTGCTAATGTGCCAATTGATGGGGTGCTAATGTGTCCAGGTATGGGGTGCTAATGTGCCAATTGATGGGGTGCTAATGTGTCCAGGTATGGGGTGCTAATGTGTCCAGGTATGGGGTGCTAATGTGTCCAGGTATGGGGTGCTAATGTGCCAATTGATGGGGTGCTAATGTGCCCAGGTATGAGGTGCTAATGTGTCCAGGTATGGGGTGCTAATGTGTCCAAGTATGGGGTGCTAATGTGCCAATTGATGGGGTGCTAATGTGTCCAGGTATGGGGTGCTAATGTGTCCAGGTATGGGGTGCTAATGTGTCCAAGTATGGGGTGCTAATGTGCCAATTGATGGGGTGCTAATGTGCCCAGGTATGAGGTGCTAATGTGCCACATTGATGGGGTAAAAAAAAAAAGTAAAGTTTCCCTTTCAAACCTGACGGTCTATGGGGCAAGTGAAGTAGAGTTCACTTGTTTCTGTGACCTCGGCATATGAAGAGATAGTGTGGTCAGCACTATGCCGAGCCGCTTTTACTCTCCCTAACGTGAGTTAGGTACCCATCAGAGTTGGGTGGACTCAGGGACGGTCTACTGGCTTGAACCCGGATTCGAACTCGAGACTTACGGGTTAGCAGCCCAGCTCTCTACCGCTAGACCACTCCGTCCCACCAATTGATGGGGTGCTAATGTGCCAATTGATGGGGTGCTAATGTGTCCAGGTATGGGGTGCTAATGTGTCCAGGTATGGGGTGCTAATGTGTCCAGGTATGAGGTGCTAATATGTCCAGGTATGGGGTGCTAATGTGCCAATTGATGGGGTGCTAATGTGTCCAGGTATGGGGTGCTAATGTGCCAATTGATGAGGTGCTAATGTGTCCAGGTATGAGGTGCTAATGTGTCCAGGTACGGGGTGCTAATGTGCCCAGGTATGGGGTGTTAATGTGTCCAGGTATGTGGTGCTAATGTGTCCAGGTATGAGGTGCTAATGTGTCCAGGTATGGGGTGCTAATGTGCCAATTGATGAGGTGCTAATGTGTCCAGGTATGGGGTGCTAATGTGTCCAGGTATGAGGTGCTAATGTGTCCAGGTATGGGGTGCTAATGTGCCCAGGTATGGGGTGTTAATGTGTCCAGGTATGGGGTGTTAATGTGTCCAGGTATGGGGCGCTAATGTGTCCAGGTATGGGGTGCTAATGTGTCTAATGCTAATGACCTAACATAGCCTATTGTTCATCATTAGCACCACTTCCTGTTTAAAAGTACACCTCTACTGAGTGTTTAGATTTCACATATCACACCTAATAATGAACAACCCAATATATCAAATTATATCAAACATGAAATTTTAACAAGACATTTAACAAACCAGAACAAGAGAGGCCGTTGGTGTCCAGACTGAAGCCCTCCCTACAAGAGCAGTGATAACTTCCTTCAGTGTTGGCACACGTCTGCTGGCATTCTTCCAGTTTGTCCTCACATTCATCAACATCTGGACATCAGTGCAACAAATATTAATAACAAATATTACCACAAAAATTGGTGCAACAAATATTAACAACAAATATTACTAAAAAATTGATGCAACAAATATTAATAACAAATATTACTACAAAAATTGATGCAACAAATATTACTACAAAAATTGATGCAACAAATATTACTACAAAAATTGATGCAACAAATATTACCACAAAAATTGGTGCAACAAATATTACCACAAAAATTGATGCAACAAATATTACCACAAAAATTGATGCAACAAATATTACCACAAAAATTGATGCAACAAATATTACCACAAAAATTGATGCAACAAATATTACCACAAAAATTGATGCAACAAATATTACCACAAAAATTGATGCAACAAATATTAACCACAAAAATTGATGCAACAAATATTAACAACAAAAATTGAGGCATCAATCATTGCCACAAAAATTGATGCAACAAATATTACCACAAAAATTGATGCAAAAAATATTACCACAAAATTTTAAAAGTTGCTCATTGAATAATTTTAATTTTTGTAATAAAAAGAATTAGAATAAAAGTTGCTCCTTGAATTATTTTAATTTTTGTAATTAAAAGAATTAGAATAAAAGTTGCTCCTTGAATTATTTAAATTTTTGTAATTAAAAGAATTAGAATAAAAGTTGCTCCTTGAAATATTTTAATTTTTGTAATTAAAAGAATTAGAATAAAATGTAAAATAGGTTCAGGTTTGATTCCAATAACAAAAGTTAAATACAAATTTAGTTTCTGACCTTTGCACATCCATTTTTCAGCATCAAAAGAGTACCCATCATGACATGAACATGTGTAGCTTCCCTCTGTGTTGTTACACACTTGTGTACAGTTGTTTAAACGTGGCTCAGCACATTCATCAATATCTGGGATTATTCAACAATTTATTGATAATTTAATAGTTATCTGATTTTTTTTTCTATTGGATATTCAATATGGGTTTTTTTTATATGCAGGGGTATCTTTATACAAAAAATGTTGAATGTTTTCCCTATGTCTAAAATAAGTAGGTCAATACATTGTAAAATAATTATAAACAGTATGCCTACAAGGGACCTTTGTTTAAACAATACATTAAAGAAAATATATTGAGCCTAATTGCAAATTTGACAGTGTTCAAGATTTGAAATATTACTACAACTTGTTTCCTTGGTTACCTACCTATACAGGAGACATTGCCTAGCTTGTGGTACCCTTGCTGACACAGGCACATAAAACTCCCAGGTATGTTGATACAGAGTTCTCTATCCTGGCATAAGTTCTTTCCCCTAAGACATTCGTCAATGTCAGCTTCACAGTGCTCTCCTTTAAATAAATATATTTTCACACACGTTTTATTTTATATATTAAATGTAATTATCTTTCACAAGTTTTATTTTATATATTAAATATAATTATCTTTCACAAGTTTTATTTTATATATTAAATATAATTATCTTTCACAAGTTTTATTTTATATATTAAAATAATTATCTTTAACAAGTTTTATTTTATATATTCAATGTAATTATCTTTAACAAGTTTTATTTTATATATTATGTATAATTATCTTTAACAATGACGCTAAACTTCAAATATATGAAACTAAAATAATGTAAATTAAAACTTGACTACATTAAAATGAATTAACTCACCTGTAAAGCCAGTTTTGCAGATGCAACCAAGAACAGGGTCACAGAACTCCGAGCCCAAACCACAAGCGCAGTTGTTGGAACATTCTTGACCCCAGGTTTCTCCTGTACAGTCTAGTATTGTTTTAATAAAAAATCTTAACATTAATAGCATGTTACCTCAAGTTTTATCATTTTTACAGCGGGCCTTCTGTTGCTTGGTACAGAAATGACAGACACATTTATTATACAGTACTAATAAAAGTAAGGAATGCTGATGTTATAAACACTGTCTCATGTGCTGACTTACTGAGACAACTCCGTCCGTCATTGTCCAGTTTAGAACCAGCTGGACAAGAGCAAGTGTAGCTTCCATCATTGTTCCTGCAACCTTCTTTAACTGAGCACAGATTGGTTTCATTGGCAGCACATTCATCTATATCTGTGGTAGATAAAATATTTTAAGGTTTCATTTGCAGCACATTCATCTATATCTGTGGTAGATAAAATATTTTAAGTTTTATCTGCAGCACATTCATCTATATCTGTGGTAGATAAAATATTGTAAGGTTTCATATGGAGCACATTCAACTAATTTTTTTTCAAACAAAATTGCCACCAAATTTGTTTAAAATCTCGATAAAAAACCCTACCTTCACAAACTTCTGTGCCAGCCTTCATTATTTTCTCATACCCCCTGGGGCAGATACAGTAGGGCTGGTTTGTCTCATTGATGCTGCACCCATGGGGGCAGTTCAGGTTCGATTGGCTACAGAGCTCTTTTACTGGGGAAAATAAAAAGTTTAGTGTAAACTTCTCGTAACCTAAACATTACTTAACTCAAATAAATATAACACTAGAATTATTAGCACAAAATTAGCTCAGAATGTAGCATAAATGTAATTTTTTAAAATTAATTAGGTTATAACTTTTCTAAATTAAATGTTTCACTTATTTCAATAGTACAGTGATTATAAAAAATATTTTATTTCCATTGGGATTCAGTTTTTGGGTTGTAAAAAAGTTTTTTATCAATACCACTGATACAGTCACGACGATTTTCTCTCAGTATGTATCCTGGTTCACATTGACAGTTGTATTTCCCATCCACATTGTGACAGATGTGTTGACATCCATCTATGTGAAGCTCACATTCATCTATATCTGTGGTAGATAAATAATTGTTTTATCTGCAGCATATTCATCTGTGCAGATATAAGTTATTTCAATTAACTAATTGCCTTAGCTTGGCATGTTTTATTTATAGAAGGCAGCTTATCTTGTATATTAAAAAATACGAGCCGACCCGCTGCGTATCATACGCCGCTATTTAGTTGTTTTTTTTTATACTTTTCAGTAACTCATAATTTGTGAATTCGACAGTACCAACACTGCCACTGAAAATATTTGCTTTAAAACACTATCAGATGGTCGTTAAGGACGATACACCCCTCCTTTACCCCAACCTCAAATATTTAGCGTGAACCACAGTTCACCAGACCATGTAGGGGTGGGGGTTGTAGGGAGCGTGCTTCAGCTTGGTGTTTTCTATGGTCTCCAAGAAGATAATTATATATATAGATAGATCTTTCTATACCTGTACAAACTGCCTGATTCAAGAATTTAGAACAAATGAAAGTAAATCTACCTGTACAGACTGATTGAAGTGATAAAAAAAAAACAAGTGAACCTACCTGTACAACCTGCCTGGTTAGTTCGAGCATATCCTGGCTTACAGTTGCAGGTGTAGCTGCCTGCAGTGTTGACACACACCTCCACCCTCAAATCACAGGTAACAGTCACCTGAGTAGTGGTACATTCATCAATATCTGCAAATATTGGTACCATCTTTTCATTAGAACATTCATCAATATATACAAACATTTTTACCATCTTTTTATTAGAACTTTCATTGTTACATGGATTTGCAACTTTCAAAAATGCATTATTATTTATTTTTACATATTAAGTATTAACAAAAATAATAAAATATGCAAACAGTTTTTAAAAAGTTGTGATTCTATTTAGTGTTAAAGACTGACCTGTGCACCGTCCTGATGTCAGGTCATAGCCACTGGGGCAGGTGCAGGTGAACGACCCGTTGGTGTTGTGACATAGCTGGTCAGCTGGGCAGGCACCTGGCCTGTCACACTCGTCCACATCCACGTCACAGTGCTCACCTGACCAGCTGACCTCACAGACACACCCCTTCACAGGGTCACAGGTACCACGACCTTTACAGTCGCAGGTTTGCTCACAACTGTCTCCGTATGCAGGCGATTTACAAGCTGGGGTCAAAGGTCATTTATTACATGATTACACTATGTGGCTACCTAACTTACATGATTACACTGTGTAGCTACCTAGAATATTAAAAATTACACTACTTTTAAATTGGATAACAATAACTTACTTATTTAAACAGATAATTAGGAATAAAACTGATAATAAATAATCTAAATAAAATAATCTAATGCTGGCAATTCAATTTGTTTTAAAGATGTGACAAGTTCAATTTGTTTGAAAGATGTGACAAGGGACAAGTAGATTTATGAAAGTAAGAAAGCAATCTTTTAAGATCATTTGAGAAAAAGGTTCTTAGATTAGCATAGCATGACTAAACTTCACAAGAAATAAAATCACTAAAAGCTCCTAGATATCCTACCATGACTAAACTTCACAAGAAATAGAAAAAAAATTCCTAGATTATTCTAGCATGACTTCAAGTTCCTAGATTATTCTAGCAGGACTTCAAGTTCTTAGATTATTCTAGCATGACTTTAAGTTCCTAAATTATTCTAGCATGACTTTAAGTTCCTAGATTATTCTAGCATGACTTTAAGTTCCTAGATTATTCTAGCATGACTTCAAGTTCTTAGATTATTCTAGCATGACTTTAAGTTCCTAGATTATTCTAGCATGACTTTAAGTTCCTAGATTATTCTAGCATGACTTTAAGTTCCTAGATTATTCTAGCATGACTTTAAGTTCCTAGATTATTCTAGCAGGACTTCAAGTTCTTAGATTATTCTAGCATGACTTTAAGTTCCTAAATTATTCTAGCATGACTTTAAGTTCCTAGATTATTCTAGCATGACTTTAAGTTCCTAGATTATTCTAGCATGACTTTAAGTTCCTAGATTATTTTAGCATGACTTTAAGTTCCTAGATTATTCTAGCATGACTTTAAGTTCCTAGATTATTCTAGCATGACTTTAAGTTCCTAGATTATTCTAGCAGGACTTTAAGTTCCTAGATTATTCTAGCATGACTTTAAGTTCCTAAATTATTCTAGCATGACTTTAAGTTCCTAGATTATTCTAGCATGACTTTAAGTTCCTAGATTATTCTAGCATGACTTCAAGTTCTTAGATTATTCTAGCATGACTTTAAGTTCCTAGATTATTCTAGCATGACTTTAAGTTCTTAGATTATTCTAGCATGACTTCAAGTTCTTAGATTATTCTAGCATGACTTTAAGTTCCTAGATTATTCTAGCATGACTTTAAGTTCCTAGATTATTCTAGCATGACTTTAAGTTCCTAGATTATTCTAGCATGACTTTAAGTTCCTAGATTATTCTAGCATGACTTTAAGTTCCTAGATTATTCTAGCTTGACTTTAAGTCATTATTCTAGCATGACTTTAAGTTCCTAGATTATTCTAGCATGTCTTTAAGTCATTATTCTAGCATGACTTTAAGTTCCTAGATTATTCTAGCATGACTTTAAGTTCCTAGATTATTCTAGCATGACTTTAAGTTCCTAGATTATTTTAGCATGACTTTAAGTTCCTAGATTATTCTAGCATGACTTTAAGTTCCTAGATTATTCTAGCATGACTTTAAGTTCCTAGATTATTCTAGCAGGACTTCAAGTTCTTAGATTATTCTAGCATGACTTTAAGTTCCTAAATTATTCTAGCATGACTTTAAGTTCCTAGATTATTCTAGCATGACTTTAAGTTCCTAGATTATTCTAGCATGACTTCAAGTTCTTAGATTATTCTAGCATGACTTTAAGTTCCTAGATTATTCTAGCATGACTTTAAGTTCTTAGATTATTCTAGCATGACTTCAAGTTCTTAGATTATTCTAGCATGACTTTAAGTTCCTAGATTATTCTAGCATGACTTTAAGTTCCTAGATTATTCTAGCATGACTTTAAGTTCCTAGATTATTCTAGCATGACTTTAAGTTCCTAGATTATTCTAGCATGACTTTAAGTTCCTAGATTATTCTAGCTTGACTTTAAGTCATTATTCTAGCATGACTTTAAGTTCCTAGATTATTCTAGCATGACTTTAAGTCATTATTCTAGCATGACTTTAAGTTCCTAGATTATTCTAGCATGACTTTAAGTTCCTAGATTATTCTAGCATGACTTTAAGTCATTATTCTAGCATGACTTTAAGTCATTATTCTAGCATGACTTTAAGTCATTATTCTAGCATGACTTTAAGTCATTATTCTGGCATGACTTACCTTGACAAGAAATCCCATCAGGTTGTAGCTGGTACCCAGGATAACAGAAACAATAAAAATCTCCTTTGGTGTTATTACAACCTTGACTACAGGGTTTGTTGGCTTGGTTACACTCATCTATGTCTGGTCAGGGAAGGTATCAGTTTAGTTGGGAGAGACAATTTGATCAGTTTAGTTGGGAGAGGCAATTTGATCAGTTTAGTTGGGAGAGACAATTTGATCAGTTTAGTTGGGAGAGACAATTTGATCAGTTTAGTTGGGAGAGACAATTTGATCAGTTTAGTTGGGAGAGACAATTTGATCAGTTTAGTTGGGAGAGACAATTTGATCAGTTTAGTTGGGATAGACAATTTGATCAGTTTAGTTGGGAGAGACAATTTGATCAGTTTAGTTGGGAGAGACAATTTGATCAGTTTAGTTGGGAGAGACAATTTGATCAGTTTAGTTGGGAGAGACAATTTGATCAGTTTAGTTGGGAGAGACAATTTGATCAGTTTAGTTGGGAGAGACATTTTGATCAGTTTAGTTGGGAGAGACAATTTGATCAGTTTAGTTGGGAGAGACAATTTGATCAGTTTAGTTGGGAGAGACAATTTGATCAGTTTAGTTGGGAGAGACAATTTGATCAGTTTAGTTGGGAGAGACAATTTGATCAGTTTAGTTGGGAGAGACAATTTGATCAGTTTAGTTGGGAGAGACAATTATTTGCAAGAACTTCAGATAAATTTCCAGTCAGTATGATGTACTTAAGTCCTCACGATTGTGATTGTTACTACAATGATTACACAATAGAAACTGAAAGACTCTACTGCATCTGTTTTATAGACTATCAGTTCTGAAAGTTGACTTTTTTTCAAACAGTTGACACATGTAAATTATAAGATAAATTAAAATAAGAAAGATAGTAACATTTAAAAATTGAACCTAAACATTCCGTATCTTTATCAGGGTCTTGTGTGTAGCCTTTATTACATGAACAAGTAACTGTGTTGTTGTTGTTGTTGTTGTGTAGTATACAGCTGTGCTGACAAGTGCTGCATTTCTCTAATATACTTGTATCTGGAACATAGGAACATTTATACTTGTATATGGAACATTGGAACATTGATACTTGTATATGGAACATAGGAACATTTATACTTGTATATGGAACATAGGAACATTTATACTTGTTAATGGAACATTGGAACATTTATACTTGTATCTGGAACATGGGAACATTGCTACTTGTATATGGAACATAGGAACATTTATACCTGTATATGGAACTTAGGAACATTTATACTTGTTAATGGAACATTGGAACATTTATACTTGTTAATGGAACATTGGAACATTTATACTTGTATATGGAACATTGGAACATTGATACTTGTATATGGAACATAGGAACATTTTTACTTGTTAATGGAACATTGGAACATTTATACTTGTATATGGAACATAGGAACATTTATACTTGTATATGGAACATAGGAACATTTATACTTGTTAAGTCATAGGAACATTTATACTTGTTAATGGAACATAAGAATATTTATACTTGTATATGGAACATATGAAGATTTATACTTGTATATGGAACTTAGGAACATTTATACTTGTTAATGGAACATTGGAACATTTATACTTGTTAATGGAACATTGGAACATTTATACTTGTATATGGAACATAGGAACATTTATACTTGTTTATGGAACATTGGAACATTTATACTTGTTAATGGAACATAGGAACATTTATACTTGTTAATGGAACATATGAACATTTATATTTGTATATGGAACATAGGAACATTTATAGGCCTACTTGTTAATGGAACATAGGAACATTTATACTTGTTAATGGAACATAGGAACATTTATACTTGTATATGGAACATAGGAACATTTATACTTGTTAATGGAACATAGGAACATTTATACTTGTTAATGGAACATAGGAACATTTATACTTGTATATGTAACATAGGAACATTTATACTTGTTAATGGAACATAGGAACATTTTTACTTGTTAATGGAACATTGGAACATTTATACTTGTATATGGAACATAGGAACATTTATACTTGTATATGGAACATAGGAACATTTATACTTGTTAAGTCATAGGAACATTTATACTTGTTAATGGAACATAAGAATATTTATACTTGTATATGGAACATATGAAGATTTATACTTGTATATGGAACTTAGGAACATTTATACTTGTTAATGGAACATTGGAACATTTATACTTGTTAATGGAACATTGGAACATTTATACTTGTATATGGAACATAGGAACATTTATACTTGTTTATGGAACATTGGAACATTTATACTTGTTAATGGAACATAGGAACATTTATACTTGTTAATGGAACATATGAACATTTATATTTGTATATGGAACATAGGAACATTTATAGGCCTACTTGTTAATGGAACATAGGAACATTTATACTTGTTAATGGAACATAGGAACATTTATACTTGTATATGGAACATAGGAACATTTATACTTGTTAATGGAACATAGGAACATTTATACTTGTTAATGGAACATAGGAACATTTATACTTGTATATGTAACATAGGAACATTTATACTTGTTAATGGAACATAGGCACATTTATACTTGTTAATGGAACATATGAACATTTATATTTGTATATGGAACATAGGAACATTTATAGGCCTACTTGTTAATGGAACATAGGAACATTTGTACTTGTTAATGGAACATAGGAACATTTATACTTGTATATGGAACATAGGAACATTTATACTTGTTAATGGAACATAGGAACATTTATACTTGTTAATGGAACATAGGAACATTTATACTTGTATATGTAACATAGGAACATTTATACTTGTTAATGGAACATTGGAACATTTATACTTGTTAATGGAACATAGGCACATTTATACTTGTATATGGAACATAAAAACATTTTAACTTGTATATGGAACATAGGAACATTTATACTTGTTAATGGAACATAGGAACATTTATACTTGTTAATGGAACATAGGAACATTTATACTTGTTAATGGAACATAGGAACATTTATACTTGTTAATGGAACATAGGAACATTTATACTTGTTAATGGAACATAGGAACATTTATATTTGTATCTGGGACATATAATTTATAATATAGTTTAAAGGTAAAAATATCTAAATGTCACCCATGTGACAGGAGTGCCCATCCATGTCCAAATTGTATCCATGGTTACAAGAACAGCTGTAGCTGCCAGCTGAGTTGGTACAGTTGTGTTCACAATGAGAGATTTTATCATCACATTCATTGATGTCTGAGGTAGTAATATAAAGTACATTAATTTTTATCATCACATTCATTGATATCTGAGGTAGCAAAACACATTTAATATATCATTCATTGATGTCTGAGGTAGTAATATAAAACACATTAATTTTTATCATCACATTCATTGATATCTGAGATAGCAAAACACATTTAATATATCATTCAGTGATGTCTGAGATAGCAAAACACATTTAATATATCATTCATTGATGTCTGAGGTAGTAATATAAAACACATTAATTTTTATCATCACATTCATTGATATCTGAAATAGCAAAACACATTTTAAATATTATTCATTTATATCTGAAGTTGTATATTAAACACATTAATTTTTATAATCACATTATTTTCATATTATTATCACATTCATTGATGTCCAAGGTTATGAAACATTAATGTTTTCATCATAATTATGTCTGAAGATTTTCAGCACAGTTTTACACACACACGCACGCACGTACGCGCGCACATGCACACAAGTACGCACGCACACACATACAAACACGCACACGAAAACAAAAAATATGTATTTTAATAATGAATTAGGTTGCTATGTTTAAAAAAATAAAGTGAAGTAACTCTGTATTACCTAGGCACGTCCTTTGATCAGAGTTATCTAACCTGAAGCCTGACAGACAACTGCAGACAAATGATCCCTCTGTGTTTGTGCAGCTGTGGGAGCAGACACTGGCATTCAAACACTCGTCCACATCTGGCAATTGTGGTTTTACGTTTTTTGTTTAATACCAGGGCTAATTTATTTATTTAGGTCTATACACATTTTAAAAATAAAATATATGTTATAAGTAATCATTTTTTTCTGAATACTTTGTATTATAGCTTGTTTGATTTATAAGTGGTTTAATTGTATTTACGCCAATAACTTTATTGTGTCAAATGATAAAAAATTGTTAGTTTACCAAAAAAAATAAAAAAGTTAGTTTACCAACAAAAAAAAAAAAAACAAAAAAAAAAGTTAGTTTACCAACACATCTGCCCGCCTGGTCAGTGTAACCAACAGGACAAGGTCCACAGATGTAGCCAGTGGTGTTGGAGCCTTGTTGAGCTGCCGTCAGGTCTGTGCAGGTTTGTCCAAGTGAGCACGGTCTGGTGGCGCAGGCGTCCACTTCTGACTCGCAGTCTGCTCCTGAAGAGAGTTGAGGAGAGTACCCCCACACCAGATTACCACGGATCAGGTAAAAAATCTATTATGTGTTGTTACGTCCCTTACTTGTAGCGTCCCCTGATTGTGTGTGTGCTCGAACGACAGGTACCCACTTTTTGTATATAGCTGTAGCCCTTGGTTGAGTGTGTTTACATGGAGTGCGAAGTGTTCACGTAAGGCTTGACCGGTGACAGAGCGTGTGCTATGGTGTGTGGACAGCGAGAGGACGTGTTGTGGACGAGGGTGCAGTGAGTATTGTCGTTTCGTATTTTTGTATTATCTATCTCTTGTATTCACTTCATTATTTTTACTAGTACCAGCAATAATATTGTCGAGTCCGTTGTACTGTGATATACGTTGTGTTGTCCTGTATTATTATATTAGACAGAAGAACCCGACACCCGTGTAACTGTGTCACACACGTTCGCAAGCAAAAACACAAACACACTCAAATAGAGACAAGTACACACAAACAGAGACACACACAAACACAGACAAATACACAAACACGCACAAACACACACATACACAAACACACAAATACAGACAAACCAACACACAAAAACACAAACACACACATACACAAACGGTCACATACACACACAAACACAGACAAACCAACAAACACACACAAACAAACCAACACACAAACGCAAACAAACCAACACACAAACACAAACAAACCAACACACAAACACACACATACACATACGGTCACATACACACACAAACACAGACAAACAAACACACAAACACACCGCTAATCCCCAACATACCCGTGTATGCTGGGCCACACACACACCTCAGCACATGGACGCTTGAATCTGGGTCACCTCTTGTGGTTGTAGGGTCACACTGACCGTGTCCACTACAGCCAGTACACAACACAGTGCTGATGTACACAATTGGGCTGTACGCATCATTCTTGTCTTTAGCCCGTATCCTATCGTGTCATTGAAAACAAAATAGTGTGTACAAATCTGTCATTCAAAATTGTGTACTTAGTGAAGATGTAGTGTAAAAAGTTATATTCTGAAATAGGCCTACTAATAAGACTGTCTTTATCTACTAGCTAAGCTTGAAGTGTTACATTAAGTACCCAAAACTGATGGGAAGACCAGGACTTGGTGTAACAAACAATCTCTTGGTCACGTGGTCTATGTGTACACCAGGTACATAGCCTACAGTCTCCACTGACGGTATGTCGCCATCATCGTCCGCAACATTCAGGCCCAGCGACGAGTCTTTCCCTTGTGTGAGCAGTAGCTGACCTCCAGAGGTCAAGGTTGAGGTATTTATAGATAGTGTTGGGGGCGTGTTGGCTGAAATATTTTTTTCATTTTTTTAGTTTAAACTACATCTAAATTTAACTAAACAAATTAAATGCAATTTAAAAACAGTTATTTTTTAGCGCAATTTCCATTCTGGAGAATTGCGTTTATTAACCCGTCATTTCTGAATGTATGAATGTATGAATGAAGGGATGTGTATCCGCAGCTTTAAGTCGTATCTCCTCCTCAAAGAAGCAATATCGAGGACTAGTTCCAAAGCAATTATGTTAAGCAAGTTACGAGGATGAACATAGGCCAAAAAAATTCCGGGTTTCTTTCATGGATTTCCCGGAAAAGCCAAAAAAACCTCGAAAAAATGCAGTTTTTGGCCCATATCTCGGCAACCAGACCACTTATCGACTTGAAACATGTACCAATCGATTCCTGGCATAATTTAGAACAATATTGCAGAAGAAAGGTTTCAAAAATATCCTTTCGTTCGGTCACAAAAAAATTTTTGAATTAATTAAAATTTGGACCGAATTAGTAGGCATTTTTATCCAACCACACCACACGCGTCATCACGTTCAATAGCTGCGCCATCACGTTCAATGGCTTCGACATCACATTCGGTAGCTAGGCGCGCAATGGTTTTTAGTCATGTAACTCTATTGTAAATAAAACATGTAAAATACTGAAAAAAAAATTAATAAAAAACGTTTTAATAACTAACCAATGGTTTTACTAACCCTGCTCTTGATTTACGCTACGACAGAGCTATTTTTAGATAACATAAGGAAATTGCGCTAAAATTGTCACTAGACTTTTTAATTATCTTGTTTACTCTAATACTCTAGCTTTAAAAGAATCAATAATTGTTTTATTTTAGTTGAGTAATTACGTTGTACGCTGTAAGTCATGCTAATATAGACATAGAATGTTCTAAATATACTTGAATCAGCTCTAAAGATGTATTCCTCGTACCGAGAGAGCTAATATAGTTAAATTTAAACTTTCAGCTGATAGAAAAGCTATGGAAATATTAAGCAGTTTTATACTTAAAACCTTTGTACAGTTGTATTTGAGTGAAAGTTTACCCAAGTTTTCCATCCTCTGTTTGAAATCTTCTCTTGACGCCTTAGTTTGTCTGGCGAAACTTGCATCTTTGGTGGCCACGAAGTCGTAGACACAGGCCGTGTTGCCCTCCCCACACAACTTGGCACCAGCACCCCTCAAGAGGGGGTCAGTTTGGTCCTGGAACAGGGGCACGAACTCTGGGTGCTGGTAGTCACTGAAGCTTTCATGTTTGCCGTAAGTAAAAATACTTGTTTCGGCAGTTACCTCCCCTAGAAATATTTTTCAAACGTTATCATTTCTTATAATTATTTTTACTCTAATCGTTCCATTACCTTAATAAAATAAAAACAGTTAATTTTAAAACTAATTTATTCAAGTATAAGAGAATACAACTAACAATTTTTAGCAAACTTGTATAAGATATCACTTTCTGTCATGTTGCTTGGCAACACTGTTCCATTTTGTAGTGTAAATTCATCTGTTATATTTCCATTAAAATTTCCGAGAAGTCCTTTTGTTGCATTCATCAAATGTTTCTCAACTTCCACCTCAATTTTCAGACATCTAACAGCTACACTGACTTTGATAGAAACACCTAAAACAAAAACAGATTGCCAAGTTTTGTAAAACGAAAACATGTTTTAAAAAAAACTAATTAACTTAAATAAGGAATAGTTTACAATCGATATATAAGTTTTGACCAAGCGTTTACAAGTGCTACATTTTTTAAAAAGTTGTAAACTATTAGAATGCATCACAATTTCACAGCTTTGGACACCAGCACTGACCACAAGGGAACGACCCGACCAGTAGACTGTTGTTCAGTGAGTTTTGTCTGACCACTTGGATGGTTCTCAACTCTGTGGCAAAGTCTGGAGAGCTGTAGAAATCGTTGGTGTAGTCCACGCCATTGATGTAGATTGTCATGCCTGGGAACACAGGTCAGGTAAACATACATCAAACGTAAGGCAATGTTTTACTTGCATAGCAAATATGTACGAGCTATCTGGTATTTTATTTATGTTATTAGGTGCCAGTTTAAATATATTTTACCAATGTTATTAGGTGCCAGTTTAATATATTTTACTTATGTTATTAGGTGCCAGTTTAATATATTTTACTTATGTTATAAGGTGCCAGTTTAATATATTTTACTTATGTTATTAGGTGCCAATTTAATATATTTTACTTATGTTATAAGGTGTCAATTTAATATATTTTACTTATGTTATAAGGTGTCAATTTAATATATTTTACTTATGTTATAAGGTGTCAATTTAATATATTTTACTTATGTTATAAGGTGTCAATTTAATATATTTTACTTATGTTATAAGGTGTCAATTTAATATATTTTACTTATGTTATAAGGTGTCAATTTAATATATTTTACTTATGTTATAAGGTGTCAATTTAATATATTTTACTTATGTTATAAGGTGTCAATTTAATATATTTTACTTATATTGTTCGGGGCTAGTTCAACTTCGAGGCTTGAATTTTCCCATTCTTTAGCTGCCAATTTTGTAAACACCGTGGCATTCGTCTCTTTACCGTCAGAGGTCATTGACCTACTTGTTCTAACCTACATACATGATTAAAACTTAAGGTGAAACACCAAACGTGAATAAAACAAATAATCATCTGCGGTTCATATATATTTTAACATTTAATAAAATTAATTACATGTAGGCCTATTTGATATAAACATTAATGGTACAAAGCTTATATCTTTTACTTTTCCTGAAAATACCACATTAATGTTTTTATACCACTGTCAGTAACGGCCCAATTAAAAACTGTTTATGATGACTCCTACGTTACTCAAAGTTGACAAAACTAGAAAGTTTTGAAGTTGGCAAACATCACTTCATGAGAAGCATACATATAAAAAACTGAAACATGAAGTTGGAAGTTGGTACATTCTCACATATTTAAATACCTGAAACATGAACTTGGAAGATGGTACATTCTCACATATTTAAATACCTGAAACATGAACTTGGAAGATGGTACATTCTCACATATTTAAATACCTGAAACATGAACTTGGAAGATGGTACATTCTCACATATGTAAATACCTGAAACATGAACTTGGAAGATGGTACATCCATCATGACGTACTCCCCCCATCCATTCATCGTGTACTCAAACCCATCGAGTGTCGTAATGTGAGGGTCACCAAAGGCAGAAGCTGAGTGGAGTAAAAGATAAACTGTAGGCTCTCACACACGAGAATGTTGTAGATCTATTGATGTATCGATTTACAAGCATGTGTTGACTTTACCTGGAACAAAGGTGACAAAGTTTGAGCATCCCATGTCAGGAAAAATCTTGTGGAACCTGTGACACAGCTGAGGGGAGGCCCCACTACAGCAGTACCCGTGGGCTCGCATGTTCTCTAGCGCCTCCTTGTTGCTGAAGAACGCCCATGACCAGGGGTCATTGATGAGGACGTGGCCGGAGTACCGGGAGGCGGGTATGTAGGAGGAGCTGCGTCGACATTGTTCCTCTTCCTCCCAGCTGGTGCTGGTGCTGTGTAGTCGATTATAGCAGCACAGCTGTGGGGAATACAACAAATACATGTAGTCGATTATAGCAGCACAGCTGTGGGGAATACAACAAATACATGTAGTCGATTATAGCAGCACAGCTGTGGGGAATACAACAAATACATGTAGTCGATTATAGCAGCACAGCTGTGGGGAATACAACAAATACATGTAGTCGATTATAGCAGCACAGCTGTGGGGAATAACATGTAGTCGATTATAGCATCTGTGGGGAACACAACAAATACATGTAGTCGATTATAGCAGCTTTGGGGAACACAACAAATACATGTAGTCGATTTTAGCAGCATAGCTGTGGGGAACAACACAAAAACGTAGTCGACTATAGCAGTTAAGTGGTGGGAAGAAAAAAAAAATATAGCATAAAAACCAAGATTGATAGGTGTTCAATTATAAGAAAAGAATGTGAATGTTAATGAGTTGGGCTGGGAAATGTGGAAATTTTCTTTAAATAAATTAGCTGAATCAGTTTTAACCAACAACCACATTGTATCTGAAGCAGCCAACAAATATTGGGTCATAATTTAATGGGTTACTCTTTGTTGTGGGTCAGATAAACATGTCTTGTTATGTCCGATCTTTTGTTCAGTAATGCTTGTTTCAGAGTTCTCCTGTATATGTGGTGTGTGAGTCTGCCATAGTCCACCTAACGTGTGTGATGCTCTATGTGTAGGCAGACATTATGTTAAACATGTATGTTTTGCTATTGACTCGCCTTGTTCCGTGTGTTGTCTGCCATCAGTAACGTCTTAGAGGGCAGGCTGATAGCGTAGCATTCAATATTTAGGTCAGGGCCTCGTCTCTCATAGAGCTGCCACTGGTGCCCCAGCCTTTCTAGTGTACACGGGCACTTGTACAAGTTCTGCTTCTCTCTCTCGTACACAGGATTGTTCAACAGGCTCAGCTGACGACACAGGTATCTCTGGCACGTCTGGGTGTGACTTTTGACACTGCCAGTGTGGTATGACATCACACCTTCGTAGTCTGCAATTGTTTAAACAGACATGAGCACACGAATGTAACTTTTTTATTTTTTATTTTTTGCTATTAATTTGAGCTTTCATGCATTTTTTATCTGACGGTTTTTAAAACTAATTTTAAGTCAAGTAGATCTAGGTCAACAACGGTTTTAGACAAAATAAAATTAGTTATGCTAGCATGTGTAAATTTAAAGATTTACTGATGAAACACTTTTTATAAAAATATGCTCTCCTACCGATGTTTTTATCAAAAAGGCCTACTCAGTTAAATTTGATTTCTACCCGTATTCCACTTTAAAAGGCCTACTAAATTAAACATAATTTCTACCTGTATTCCACTTTGAAAGACCTACTAAATTAAACATGATTTCTACCTGTGTTCCACTTCAAAAGGCCCAGTTCTAAAATAGTGACCGTCTCTGTGAAGCTCATGTAATGCAAGCTTGAGCCAGTGGTCAGCCCAATTTGGATGACCCTCCCCTCAACAAACAGCCAGTTCATCTTGCCTTGCTGGTAAATGTAGATCACGTAGGACGTCGTGTTTTCTGGAAGAAATTGGACATTTAGTAGACAATACTAATTAAGGCAGCCTTTATGTTGTAGGCTCCAGTAAAGCTTTATACCCCCAACAACTATTGTCATGTAATGACACAAAGGACCATTTCTTTAGAGATAGATAGTAAATATCACTAAAATGATAGGCCTTGAATTTTCCAAACCCATATTTATGCCATTTTTTTAAACGAAGCACATGCCCGTAAAAGCGTAAATTTATGTTATTTTACCAGCATGTCAGTTTGAAAATTGTATCAGCCAACTATTACTTACCAGACAGGATATCATGACCAAGTTTATGTTTAGCCTCCCAACCAGTTACAAAGATGGCTTGAAATGTGTTCTCTTCACGTGACTACAGATTTACAGGTAAAAAATCTTTCACAGTATTTTAATACAAACAAAATTAGCTTCAGCACAAATATTTTTAAACAATATTTATTATAAATGTCTTAAAATGAAAACAAAATGTATTTAAACTTATAAGGTAATAAAAAAATTAATACATTTTTTAAAATCAAAATCACAAAAGGTCATATCTAGTAAACAGATACATTTAAAGTCGCCCTACAAACTAGTTCTATAGCAAACCTCCCCAAATAATCAAGACGTGTCTTAACCAACTCACCTGACTGACCCGTAGGTTAGTGAGAGGTTTAACAGAGACCCATGTGGCCACGAGAACAGAACTAGCAAAAAACCCGTCCATGGCGTGGAACTTGGCAATGTCTTTCTCCACTCTGTCGATGACGTCATGTCGGTAGGGGGACGGGTCGTCGGTCCCCTCAAACACGTGACGGTAGGGGGACGGGTCGTCGGTCCCCTCAAACACGTGACGGTAGGGGGACGGGTCGTCGGTCCCCTCAAACACGTGTCGGCCACATTTCTCGTACAGGTGGTAGCTTACGTTCCCTTTGGAATGTCAACAGTTGTAAGTTGGTTTTGGTGAAAATGTTTTCAGATACCTACACAAATGATATGTTGGACCAGCTAATACAAATATATTAAAAGGTTAGGACCCCTGAAGGAAGTACTTATATCTTAGGGTTGTTGTGATGTACTCACCTTGACTTGTGTCTATGTGGGCCTAGTATGGTGCTATGATTGGGTGGTTGTTACTGTGATGTACTTACCTTGAATTGTGTCTATATTCGCCCAGTATGGTGCGATTATTGTGTGGTTGTTGCTGTGAGCGTACTGAAGATCTGGTGCCCCCAAAATGCTGTCCTCACCAAAACTGATGGCACCACTGCTCAACACCTGGGAACATTTTACTTAAGTCAAGGACGCACATTTGGCTGGGTGATGCTGTACTGAATTGTCTGTTTGCTTTAGATTAACTTAACGTTAAGGAAAATGAAAGCAAGCTGCCAACTTCGCAAAATCTAGATTATCTCTTGAGAATTGGGATATTGCGTAAGGGATGTTTTTGTTCCAACTTACATAGGCAGTGGTGAATTGAGCGTCGCCAAATGGCACAGCAGAACTGAACTGGACAGGTTGGCTGACCAGGACTCCGTTAGAGTACAAACTTCTGTTGTAGTGGGAATGGTCGAGCAACTGGTCTCCTGCCTCTGCTCCGTATGGGTAGAAGGGCACTGAGACCAAATTAATTATAATAAACAATTGTTCCATGGAAAATATGATTATCGTTTTTATACATGTGCTCGGGTTATTTAAATATGTTTGTTGTTTCGTACTGTGTGGAATACTAAAATTAAAAGAATGTGTGCTAGCAGTTTTATTCTAAATGTCATTTAAATGAATGCGTGCTTGTAGTTTTATTCTAAATGTCATTTAAAAGAATGTGTGTTAGCAGTTTTATTCTAAATGTCATTTAAAAGAATGCGTGCCAGCAGTTGTATTCTAAATGTCATTTAAAAGAATGTGTGCTAGCAGTTTTATTCTAAATGTCATTTACACCTCACCAACACAGGTGATGGTTATAAGCTCACCAACACAGGTGATGGTTATAAGCTCACCAACACAGGTGATGGTTATAAGCTCACCAACACAGGTGATGGTTATAAGCTCACCAACACAGGTGATGGTTATAAGCTCACCAACACAGGTGATGGTTATAAGCTCACCAACACAGGTGATGGTTATAAGCTCACCAACACAGGTGATGGTTATAAGCTCACCAACACAGGTGATGGTTATAAGCTCACCAACACAGGTGATGGTTATAAGCTCACCAACACAGGTGATGGTTATAAGCTCACCAACACAGGTGATGGTTATAAGCTCACCAACACAGGTGATGGTTATAAGCTCACCAACACAGGTGATGGTTATAAGCTCACCAACACAGGTGATGGTTATAAGCTCACCAACACAGGTGATGGTTATAAGCTCACCAACACAGGTGATGGTTATAAGCTCACCAACACAGGTGATGGTTATAAGCTCACCAACACAGGTGATGGTTATAAGCTCACCAACACAGGTGATGGTTATAAGCTCACCAACACAGGTGATGGTTATAAGCTCACCAACACAGGTGATGGTTATAAGCTCACCAACACAGGTGATGGTTATAAGCTCACCAACACAGGTCAGTCCGTCAGGTCCCAGCTGCATATCCTCAGGACAAGTACAAAACTCTTCGAGAATGTTCTTCTTGTAGCATCCATGGGAACATTGCTTGAGGAAACAACCTTTGAACTCTGTGACGTCAACAAATGTTAACAACCAATCATTTCTCCTTCACAAAACAAAACGTGAGATACAGACCGCAATGAGTGACACCTTGTGACACCATTTAAAGCGTGACACCATCTAAAGGGTGACATCATCCAAAGAATGACACCATTCAAGGGAAACAAAAATGGTGACACAATCCAATGAGTGACACCAAAACGAAACGTAGCTGTATTTTTCTGATATATGTCTAATTTTTCTAACTACGCCAACTTACCATCACAATGACCTAACTTACCATGACAATGCCCTAACTTACCATGACAATGCCCTAACTTACTATCACAATGTCCTAACTTACCATAACAATTACCTAACTAGCCATCACAATGTCCTAACTTACCATCACAATGACCTAACTTACCCTAACTTACCATCACAATGCCCTAACTTACCATCACAATGTCCTAACTTACCATCACACTGCCCTAACTTACCATCACACTGCCCAGTTGATGTGTTGAGAAAGTAGCCCAAGTTACACTGACACGAGTAGCTTCCCCTGGTGTTGTTACAGACGGAGTTGTCTGGACAAAGTTTGTTGTTGGTGCCCAGACATTCATTGACGTCATCGTGACACGTGTCACCCGTCCAGCCCCGCCCACAGATACACTTGCCCAGGATGTTGTCACAGTACAGTGTGTTGGCCTCAGCACAGTGGCAGTACTCAGCACAAGTTGGCCCAAACTTAAAGTGGCCACATGCTACAGGAGTCAAGAAACAATCAATTATTAGGATTTAGAGCAGGGTAGGTTTGCGAAGTAATCTAAGTAATCTAAGTAACCTGTCCTAACTGCTTCAAAAGTGTTGACATATTTTGATACATTTGCCAATACAACATTTAGTTTTCTGTACAAGAGGTAGACATGGAAAGGAAAACGTCTTGGTGATACTAGCCGTAACAGAACAACTAAAAATAGAAGAACTAAAAATAGAAGAACTAAAAATAGAACAACTATAATTAGAACAACTAAAAAAGTGTAGTCCCGTTGTCGGATTTGGTCTAGTTCTCACGTCAAATAAATAATTCACTTGTCTTTCCTGTAAAGTACAGCTGGTTCTATAAAAATCTAAATCATCCAGCACTGATGACGAGTGGACTAAACGTTTAGGAACACCACAACAAATGACAACATCACATTCTGGTCCCCGGGAGAGAAGGTAAAGACCAGAAAAGTGGAGACGGACGTACATTAGATGAGGATATAAGATCGGTTCCAGAGGGTTGCCCCTAGACCAGAGGGTTCCTACCATATTTCGATATTGATAGGTTGATTGTAAATTAGATCAGAAGGTAACCTAGCGACTTGTATGTCAACAAGAGTGTATCTACCTTTTGACCATGCAGTCCCCAGCTAATTACTTCTTGAGAGTATTACATGTGCTAGCCCCACTTACGGTGTGAAATGTAAGTTCCATTAAAGCCTTTACTGACATCATTAGTTCCAGACGTGAAGACAATATGCATGTTGTTCCCTGTAGACCTGACGATCTTTGGTATACTCTGGCCGCAGTAGGTGCCTATTAATTTCGTGCTTGCGCTGTTACCGTTGTAAAACGAAACGGCGCCGTAAAGACAATTATTAGGTGAATGCCAGGTTACAAGGGCGAATTCTGAAAAACTATTTTAGAGTATTATTATTAGAACAACTATTTTAATAGATATTAATTTTAATTAATATAAGCGAAACGTACATCACATATTTTGTGCATAGCAAAAAGCCTCAAATCATAGCTTTTTACAAATTTTTTTAGGATAATGACGACCACTTCATCCCAATATTTTTTTTTTTTACATTTTCTGTAAGTCTTCTAGTTTATTATTAAAATTTTATATAGTTATATTCCGAAGTATCCGAGCTGTAGTGAATAATACACGGGTCTTGTGTACCAACACATCACAGTAACTTGTCTACCTGACGTCACAGTATCTTGTCTAACTGACGTCACAGTAACTTGTCTACCTGACGTCACAGTAACTTGTCTACCTGACGTCACAGTATCTTGTCTAACTGACGTCACAGTAACTTGTCTAACTGACGTCACAGTACCTTGTCTACCTAACATCACAGTATCTTGTCTAACTGACGTCACAGTAACTTGTCTAACTGACGTCACAGTAACTTGTCTACCTGACGTCACAGTAAATTGTCTACCTGACGTCACAGTATCTTGTCTAACTGACGTCACAGTATCTTGTCTAACTGACGTCACAGTAACTTTTCTAACTGCCGTCACAGTAACTTGTCTAACTGACGTCACAGTAACTTGTCTACCTGACGTCACAGTATCTTGTCTAACTGACGTCACAGTATCTTGTCTAACTGACGTCACAGTATCTTGTCTAACTGACGTCACAGTAACTTGTCTAACTGACGTCACAGTATCTTGTCTAACTGACGTCACAGTATCTTGTCTAACTGACGTCACAGTATCTTGTCTAACTGACGTCACAGTATCTAGCCTACCTGACGGAAATGACGTCACCCTCGTGTACTGAGATGTCCCAGCTACAATGTGCTCTCCTGAAGTAGTTGTTGGGGTAGTCTGGACTCTGTATGAGACCGGTACCATTGGTCAGGTTAAAGCTGCACTCTGAAACACATTTTGAAATACAACTTAGTACCCGACTTTATTTTATTGCTAGATCATTTCTTTCTTGTCATTTGTTTTATTAGGATGTTTGTAATTTTGATACAAATGTTCATTGTTTGCATTGTTAGGTTTAGAGTGCACTCTGTATATTTTATTGAATAGTTTAAAGGTGCTATGTTTCATGTAAATGTAGTTTGTGTCCATTTTGAGAGTGATTACTTTCTAGAAAAGATGTCAAAAGAAACGATCCATAGGGTTAGCTAAGTTAAATAGCTAAGTATTTTATCAGCTTTGAAAGTAATTTTAACGTACCTATATCTTGACAAGTTTTCTCTGTAACAGACACCAAGCCGTTCTCGTGGGGACAGGTACAGTTGTAGTCTCCTGGTGTGTTGACACAAATTGCGTATTGATGACAGATATTCTGACCAGTGTAGCATTCATCTAAATCTTGTGAGCAGTCATATGACGTCCAGCCCTGCTTACATGAGCACCATCCAACTCTAGTGTCACATGACGCGGTGTGGTCAGCGTCACATTGACTGTGTCTGGAGCAGTGGTTGGCGTAGGTTAGGTTCACACACGCTGGAATAAGATTTTAAAAAAAGAAAGCATTTGTTTTATTGCTAAAAATTTAAAATTTTAAACTAAAATAAACCAGGAGTGATCTCTTCTAAACTTTCTCGAATATTCTTATGTAAAACACTACGGGGGATGTCAAATCGTGATATAGACATTATTGTTAATGCATTTTTAATTACTTTAAATTTTAAAAATATAATAGAATCGCTTAGAATATAGAATCGCACTCCAAACAAAATGTGTGTAATAGTGCGGAATATTATTAGTACTTTATAAATTTACATGCGTTTTTTTGAGGAATATGAAATAGCCTAAATTACTACTTTCTGTCAATGGAAGTTACTCAAAATTTGACAGAAGGCAGAGAATTAGATCTTTTACTTATATGTGAAATTTCATTCATCTATCTGAAATAGTACTTAAGTAATACGCTTTTGAAAAATTAAAAAAGGAGAAAAAGTTCCACTTTCGGTTATCAGAAATTGCTGAAAAAAATGATAACGATCTACGATTTTGATATAATACTCATATATGAAATTTCATCAACCTAGCAGTAAAGGTACTCAAGTTATCGTGTTTACAGACACACACACACACACACACAGACATACGGACAAGATTACAAAACTATGTTTTTCCGACTCAGGTAGATGTAAAACGTCGAGATTGCAAATCTCGATATTTTTTTTGTTTGAAGATTACAAGACTTTCTCTATACGAGAAAGTAAAAAAACCTAGACAATTAAATAATTTTCTAAAAATCTCACATTGACAAGTGGAGTTATCTCCCTGCAAGAACATGCCGATAGGGCAGTAGCAGATCTCTTTGTGCGACTGGTCGGGCTGAGGTATCGATACACACGTGTGTGAACAGTTGCTGCTGGTGCACGGACCTCCGGGACCTCCATCTGCCTCTGTTAGCAACATGTTTATTACAATTTCATATGTCAAATGAAATAACTTTGTAAAAACTCCATGTACCATATCATGTGATTAGTTTAAACATGGAAATGATTTTCTAGGTGGAAACAATCATCTAATTAAAAACTCTACACTGTTATGCAAAGAAAAAAGTTAACATTGTACAAAGAAAATCATTATTAAACTTCAACTTTCAACTTACCCACTTAATGATTGATGTAATCGTTGGTAGACACAATATTTAGCTACCATATCATATATCATGTTCATGTTCAATGAACGAGCTCAATTAAAAATGTAACGCTAAAACATGCTAATTGTTTTAGTTTAGATATTTTATCATTTTTAAAATGTTTACATGGAAGTTCTAGTTTTAAAAACTCACAATACTGACGTGTATGATTTATGTATGTCCTAATCTAAGATGTGATTCTGTGTAAAGTGTCTTACCACAAGTTCCACTAGCCGTTAAGACCAGCCCATCAAAACACTGACCTAGACCTAACATTTACATAAGCCTCTATATTGCCTACCACAAGTTCTGTTAGCCGCCAAGACCAGCCCATCAAAACACTGACCCAGCCCTAACATTTACATAAGCCTCTATATTGCCTACCACAAGCTCCACTAGCAGCCAAGACCAGCCCATCAAAACACTGACAGTAGAACGTGCCGTTCCCATTGTAGATACAATCCGAGTAGTCTGGACATGCGAGTGGGTTGTCCGCACATTCATTTTTGTACAGCGAGCAGTCACGTGATGTCCACTGTGGTTTACACACACACTGACCGTCCCTGTTGCTGCAGTAAGCGGTGTGGTTGTGTACACAGTCACATGGTGTCTGGCATCTCTCACCGTAGGTAAATGGTGGACATTCTGGGGATTATATTTTTATTTAAACTCTGACATTCTGAGGACAATTTTTTTAAAAATAAATCAAAACTAAGTGCAACTGAGCATTTTTAATATGTGCAATTTGTTCTTTCACACTTCATCGTGTTCAAGAAGTGTTACCTAAAATAACATTTTGCAATATATATATATAAATATATATATATATATATATATATATATATATATATATATATATATATATATATATATATATATATATATATATATATACATATATATATATATACATATATATATATACATATACATATATATATATATATACATATATATATATATATATATATATATATATATATATATATATATATATATATATATATATATATATATATATATATACTCCATATGCATGACCTGATGTATTTCCATTTACCAAATGAAGTAAACGATGCAGTGAATCCATAGCCCCAGTCTGGTGTCCAGGCCCCGTACCGTACTATGTGCATCGTGTTGCCAGTAGTCCTAACAGCAGGCGACCACGGATTAGGATTTGAGTAATAATAATCTACTAGAGGCGCACTCGAATTTTCACCGTCGTAAATCATTAGGTGAGAGTTGTCGTTCATCTTGAAGTCTTGAAATCTAAAACGATATCCGGGTCAATATGTATTAACGACTTCTGAAGTCAACATACATATCACGTGTACATTTGCAAACAACTCACTTAAGATCCACCACTAGACCCTCTGGGACTACGATGGTCCAGGCACAAAGTTGGCTGTAGACAGAGCTACGGTGGAAGTAGGATACGATGCTGCCTGATGCGTTAAAGATGATATTGTCACATTCTGGTGGCACAAAATGATCTTTTTAGTTGGATTTCTCTAATTTACATGATCATTATTTTTTTTACAATGCAAAAAAAAAACAGTTTTATAATAAGCATATTATCGACAAATAAAAAAATAGATACGTATCATTAAAATAAACCGGGAGTGTTCTCCCCTAAACTTTCTCGAATATTCTTTTTTAACACCACGGCGGATGGCAACTCGGGATATAGACATGATTTTTAATCCATTTTTAATTACTTACACTGTTTAAGGGGGTAGGCTCGGGGAAAAAACGGGGAAAAAACGTTTTAATTAATGACGTATAATTAATTATTTATGTATGTATAAGTTAGGGTACATAAAGAATTTTTTTTTGCATGCATCAGGGACTCTTCTGAAATATGGTTGCCATTGCAACGGTGGCCATCTTGGAAAAAAACTACCTTTTAAGGAGTTATAAAATTTCATAGAGCAAAATATATATCATTGATCCTTCTTGTACTATCACTGGTAGAGTCAGTCGGCAAATTTTTATAAGAGAAAAATTTCATATATAAGTATGATATCAAATTTGTAGATCCTTTTTAACTTTTCAGCGATTTCCGATAAACGGAAGTGGAATTTATTCTACGTTCAATTTTTCAAATGCCTACAAGCTGAGTACTATTTCAGATAGATAATTGAAATTTGACATGTAAGTAAAATATCTAATTATCTGCCTTCCGTCAAATTTTGAGTTATTTTCGTTTACCAGAAGTAGTAATTTAAGCTATTTCTGTTTTCTCAACAAAAAAAAACGGATGTGAATTTATAAAGTACTAATAATATTCCGCACTATAATTATACACATTTTGCTTGGCGTTCGCTTAATGCGCAATTCTTTTTTCTTCGAGATTCTATTCTGTTTTTTAAATTTTAAGTAATTTAAAATAACGTCTATATTCCGAGTTGCCATCCCACGTAGTGGTTTATAAGAATATTCGAGAAAGTTTAGGGGAGATCACTCCAGGTTTATTTTTTTCACGATTACAATACTTTCTCTATACTTCGTATACGAGAAAGTAAAAAGCATTTATTTCTTCTATTATTTGGGATGGTGTATTATTATATTGCACACCACAGGACATTTCTGAAACACTCAAATGCATCGCAATACGGTTCTTATCGTACAAATAAGTTCAATACTTTCACTTCACTGGCAAAAATCTTCCTGCAATACAATGAAAATAATTTATCGGAATCGACTTGCTTATATAAAATGTTGACCAGTATTTAAATTTGAAATTTCGAAGATACAATATTTTGGACATATCACCCACTGGTAGTACTGTACTGTCAAAACTGCTTGGCATTGTAATTTGTAAAAGCAATGAGTATAAACTTAACTGTGACCGATCTAATTGAGCACGAGAGATTTATTGCGATAGAGATTCAACATAACAACTGTCATTTCTGGAAATCAGTTACTGCAAAGACATGCGTTTTATGAGAAGTCGGAAATAGCGTAAATTAGCTCTTCCGGTCAACGAAAATTACTCAAAATTTGACAGAAGGTAGAGAATTAGATCTTTTACTTACATGTGAAATTTCATTTATCTATCTGAAATAGTACTCAAGTTATAGGCTTTTGAAAAATTCAAAGTAGAAAAAGTACCACTTCCGGTTATCGGAAATAGCTCAAAAGTTGATCATGATCTATGATTTCGATAAAATAATTATATATGAAATTTCATCAACCTAGCTGTAACGGTACTCAAGTTATCGTGTTTACACACAGACATACAGACACACACACAGAAAGACACACAGACATACGGACAATATTGCAAAATTATGTTTTTCCGTATCAGTGAGGCGTAAAACGTCAAAATTTGTAGAAATCTCGATTTTTTTTTTTTGCACGATTACAAGACTTTCTCTATACTTCGTTTATACCAGAAAGTAAAAATTCACGATGTAAAATGTAACTGAATCTGTTTAATATTACTACCCTAAGTGTCTTGTCACCGTGGCTATGTCACATACCTTGACAGACTGTAGAATTAAATGTATAGTAGCCAGGCAGACATGCGCACTCGAATGCCCCTTGTGTGTTACGACAAAATGAGCGGGTCTGGTTACACGGGTGAGCACCGTTACACTCGTTAAAGTCGACGTCACAGTTGGTTGACTCCCAGTGGATGTCGCACGTGCAGTAGCCGTTTGTTTTGTTGAGTGACTTTGTGTTCTGTCTGTTACAGCTAGATGTGTGTTTACAATCTTCTCCGTACGTCCAGTCGCTGCATTCTGGCAGTAGGATCAATACGCGTCTTAGGTTTATGGGACTTTTATATCAGAAATGACATAATTAATATTTAGTACAATACATTTTATATCAATAATGCTTGTCTGAATTAAAGAATAATTTATTTTTAACTTACCAATGTCTAACAAATAAGGCTCAAAACTGACATGAAAATTAACAACTGACCAATACAAGTCTGACCATCTGTAGAGTTGAGGTACGTTCCCTTGGGGCAGTAGCATTGTTCTCTGTAAGGTTCCAAAGACGTAGCTCCACAAATACCAGAACAGCTTTTGTCTTTGTGTGTACACGTATCTAAACAAACCACATTTAATCATTAGCTATCCCTTAAATGGATGTATTTGGCAGTTACTTGAATTGTTCAAATCTTTAAGGTATACGTATGTATTTTGTAATTAGATAAATAGAATGACAGTGGTCTAAAATGACAATTTTGTTCATATAAAACAATATCTAATTTTAAATTATAAGTTTATTTCTACGTTGATGAATTTGTTGTTACAATCATGTACAAAATAACTTTAAATTAAAATGAGTAGAAAATGTCCATTCAATGCTTTAGAACACATGATCTTTATATGATGAATACGATGTTGAGTAAGTATGTTTTTACCGCTACAACTTTGATCCGTTTGATTAAGTCCAGGTTTGCAAGCACACCTGTAGCTTCCAACTGTGTTGATACATGTCGAGAAATCCCCCGGACAAATGTTAGGGTCTCTACATTCGTCAACATCAGCCGGCTGGTAGTAGACGTGTTGTGTAGAGCAGGTAGACTGTTCCCAGCCGGCTTTACACACACACTCGCCCGTCAGAGACCGGCAGAACTCCGTGTTGTTCTGTACACACTGGCACTGCTCGGTACAACCTGACCGGCCGTAGGTGAACGGTCGACACTCTGAAACATTAAACTTATGAGTTCTGTACACACTGGCACTGCTCGGTACAAACTGACCGGCCGTAGGTGAACGGTCGACACTCTGAAACGTGCGAACAGAGATTCTTCCAGGCATCTTTTCGGGGGGGGGGGGGCGAAGAAAGTCTACCCCCCCCTCACCCCCAGAATGAGATGGGATTTATATAGTAAACACACACTTTTACTAGTGCCCCCCCCCCCGAAAAAAGTTGACCCCCCCCCCCCCCGAAAATATCAAGTGCCCCCCCCCCCCCCCCCCCCGGAGAAAAAAGTCTGGAAGAAACACTGCTTCTTGTTACAGATAATTTCTGCTTGCACAAAATTAAATGTGTTCCTTTTCATACTAAATGCAACGCAATTATACACATTAAAATATACTTTTAACATCTAATCTGAAAACCTATCAATATTTTAAATATACAACTATAGGCTCGTGTTTAAATGACGCACACCTTTTTTGGCGATTCTTTACTCCCCGCTCCAATCTCCATAGCTACAACTCTTTAGTAAAAATCATACCCCCTACTCTTCCTCCCTCAAAAATTGCCCCCCCCCCCCCCCCGGATTTCAAAAAATGGGAATAAAAGCTACAAAAAACTTTTTTTAAAATTTAAATGTGTGACGTCATATTATTTAACTCCACCTCCTTACTGTCACACATAAAACAAAAAAAAAGCCCCACCTACCCAAGTTTTCTTCAAAATTCTACACATTGACATCTTTTATCATTCTAATTTTTTTTCATGAATATCAATTTGCTTGTTTTAAAATGATTATATATATATATAAATATATTCCTTTTTTCAATACAAATATTTCTCCACATTAGGCAAGAAAAATAAACTAGCAAAATAAGACAATCAATACCGAACACAGAACAACGAGCTATAGGCCTACACGACATTACAGTGTAAAATTTACAGAACAAATAACTGGATGATCAAACATGAATGTAAAACTGTATGATTGTGTGGTTGTGTGGTTGTGTGGTTGTGTGTACAAACACAACAAGATTCTACCAACGTCCCATCGTCTAACCGTGTGCCTGGTACGAGGCAGCGAAACCTGAGCTCGTGGCATCAGATTCTGAATGAAAAAACACGTGCAGGCTGTGTCCGGTTGTCCGGATTATAAATTTGTCCGTCTCTGCTTCGTCCCAGAATCCATTGACTGACCCTAGCTGACTGGACGTCACGCTGTCTCCGTCGTAGAAGTTGACACGATCAGAGAAGCCGACGTTAAATGTGGTCATTCTGTGGGGATAAGTTAAATGTGGTCATTCTGTGGGGATAAGTTAAATGTGGTCATTCTGTGGGGATAAGTTAAATGTGGTCATTCTGTGGGGATAAGTTAAATGTGGTCATTCTGTGGGGATAAGTTAAATGTGGTCATTCTGTGGGGATAAGTTAAATGTGGTCATTCTGTGGGGATAAGTTAAATGTGGTCATTCTGTGGGGAAAAGTTAAATGTGGTCTTTCTGTGGGGATAAGTTAAATGTGGTCATTCTGTGGGGAAAAGTTAAATGTGGTCATTCTGTGGGGAAAAGTTAAATGTGGTCATTCTGGGGGGATAAGTTAAATGTGGTCATTCTGTGGGGATAAGTTAAATGTGGTCATTCTGTGGGGATAAGTTAAATGTGGTCATTTTGTGGGGAAAAGTTAAATGTGGTCATTTTGTGGGGATAAGTTAAATGTGGTCATTTTCTGGCGATAAGTTAAATGTGGTCATTCTCTGGGGATAAGTTAAATGTGGTCATTCTGTGGGGGAATTTAAATGTGGTCATTCTGTGGGGAAAAGTTAAATGTGGTCATTTTGTGGGGAAAAGTTAAATGTGGTCATTCTGGGGGGATAAGTTAAATATGGTCATTCTGTGGGGTATATGTTAATGTTAAATGTAGTCACTGAAGCACTAATCTCAAGTGACGTAAAACTAATGTTTCTAATTGATTTGAAGTTTCGTAAAAGAATGTAAACATCACTCTATTCATCTATTAACAAAGCACATTAATTAAATCCACAAAACCTTGATGTAGCTGCCAGTGTTTTTACTTTTACTCTAAGGTACAACATTAAACAACCTGCATTGTTAACAATGATCTAAACTTGTGCACTGAACAATTATTACAGTTTCTTTCAATAAACAAGCCGATTTAAAATGAAAAAGTGTGTAAACAAATTGTTTGGTCAGGAGCCGCCTTGATGGTTCGAGTTCTTAACCTGGGAGGTGGGTGTTATCCTGAGAGACACTTGCCCGAATTTGATAAATGCCCGAATGGACACTTGGCCGAATTTGATAAATGCCCGAATGGACACTTGGCCGAATTTGATAAATGCCCGAATGGACACTTGGCCGAATTTGATAAATGCCCGAATGCACACTTGGCCGAATTTGATAAATGCCCGAATGGACACTTGCCCGAATTTGATAAATGCCCGAATGGACACTTGCCCGAATTTGATAAATGCCCGAACGGACACTTGCCCGAATTTGATAAATGCCCGAATGGACACTTGCCCGAATTTGATAAATGCCCGAATGGACACTTGGCCGAATTTGATAAATGCCCGAATGGACACTTGCCCGAATTTGATAAATGCCCGAATGGACACTTGCCCGAATTTGATAAATGCCCGAATGGACACTTGGCCGAATTTGATAAATGCCCGAATGGACACTTGCCCGAATTTGATAAATGCCCGAATGGACACTTGGCCGAATTTGATAAATGCCCGAATGGACACTTGCCCGAATTTGATAAATGCCCGAATGGACACTTGGCCCGAATGCTACAACTGCACCAATGTACATTTCTCCCGAATGCGATAAATGCCTGAAAGTAACTTGCCCGAAACCGAAAACAATGTTATATAATAAATTTCAACGTAAATAAATTTGAATGAAACAGTTTGATCCTACCACGAGCTGAGTTGGATGTTCATGTTTGAGTTCCTCTGTGTTCGTGTCAAGAAATTGCTCCTTAGCTGTTTTCTTATCGAATTATACCGCCTCGCCAATTCACGTTTCACTGTTCGGATTTTACCAGGATCCTTAACATTTTGTATTCTATTTCAGTATGTAACTACACCTGTAAATAAAGGTTCTGCCTTACCTTAAGGAAATGACTTGACCAGTGGCCACTATGATGTTCCAGTGACAGTCGACATTGTTGGGGTAGTTGTCCGGGTAGTTGGGGGTTAGGATGGTCCCTGCCTGCTCTGTCACTACCCCGCCACATCCTGGGTTAAATTGTTATTTATAGATACTGGGGAAACTTAGGTGTGAAAATAGATAGCCAGTAGCAGCCAATTTGGAATCAACTATAGATAATCGGGTATGTTTGTTTTTATGTGCAAAATAACATTACAATATTTCATTTTAAAAAAGCTACATTATATTTTAAAACTGATATACAAATTATCTTTTAACTACTTACCCAAATAAAAATGTAGGGGGATAATAAAATGCTTTACATCAGGTTTATTTTGCAGGCTTTATTCAAATACTTACCTGGGTCGCACACTCCATCAGGAATAAAGCAAGCGGCGACAGCAACAACAACACAAACAGCAGAGAGGTGAAATCTTCTAGTAAACATCCTGATACTTCCAGTTATGTCAACCACATTGTGCAGTTCTACTCACAGAAAGTAATTATATATATATATATATATATATATATATATATATATATATATATATATATATATATATATATATATATATATATACATAAAGTAGTATATTAGTACCTAAGTAGAAACTTTCAGTTTAAAATTTCGTATTATTAAAAATGCCAGAAAACATTGAATCACGTTATATAGCTACCGCTTATCTAAGGCAAGAATTAATTATACATTTGTTTTCCGTCGGATTGAAGTGTTCTTTAATCTAAACCCTAATCCTAACTCTCAAGTTTAGTCGGGATTTCTCAAACTTCCTCTATGATAGCCCGGACTCGAGGCACGATGGTTGTGGTAGTGTAGAAATACTGTAGGTGTGTAGGTGCACTGAAGGTTTGTTGTGCACTAAAGATTTGTTAGTAAAATATTTATTTAAAAAGCTTTTCCTGTTTAAATATGATGCTCTTCCATAAATGTTGATGTGTTTTTTAATGTTCCCTCCGTTAGCAAAAACATTATTTTGTCTGACGTCAGACGTAGGTTGGACCTTGATGAAACTTCAAGTATCCTGGCTATAAGAAAACAGTATCAGCCATAACAAGCTGTTAATTTCTAAGTGTCATGGCCAAATATAAATATTACGTCGTCATCAAGTTTCCTGGCTATACAAAAACAGTATCAGCCATAACAAGCTCTTAATTTCTTAGTGTCATGACCAAATATAAATATTACGTCGTCATCAAGTTTCCTGGCTATACAAAAAAACAGTATCAGCCATAACAAGCTCTTAATTTCTTAGTGTCATGACCAAATATAAATATTACGTCGTCATCAAGTTTCCTGGCTATACAAAAAAACAGTATCAGCTATAACAAGCTCTTAATTTCCTAGTGTCATGGCCAAAAATAAATATTACGTCGTCATCAAGTATCCTGGCTATACAAAAAAACAGTATCAGCTATAACAAGCTCTTAATTTCTTAGTGTCATGACCAAATATAAATATTACGTCGTCATCAAGTTTCCTGGCTATACAAAAAACAGTATCAGCCATAACACGCTCTTAATTTCTCATTGTCATGACCAAATATAAATATTACGTCGTCATCAAGTTTCCTGGCTATACAAAAAACAGTATCAGCCATAACACGCTCTTAATTTCTCATTGTCATGACCAAATATAAATATTACGTCGTCATCAAGTATCCTGGCTATACAAAAAAACAGTATCAGCTATAACAAGCTCTTAATTTCTCATTGTCATGGCCAAATATAAATATTACGTCGTCTTTTCGTGTAGCTTATCTTGCTTGACCTTCGATACAGATTTTACCGTGCTAGATCTCACAGATCAATCACCAGCACTTATCATACTTCCTGGTAGGGGTGGGGGGCATGTCAAATGGTAGTCAAAGATTACAGGCACATATGTATATAACGATTATAATCCATGTCGTCATGACATGTCCTTTGGGTGTAACAACACGTATTATAACGTATATATATAAAATCATAGGATTCAAAATGTCGACACAAACAATCCTCTTCACAACCAATGCACAAACAGAAAAATGCGAATACAGAAAAATGCGGGCGCGGAAAAAAACGAACACAGAAAATGGTGTACACATAAAAATTCGCACACATGTGTCAAGTGTGATTGTGTGGCTGACCACACACATACACACAAACATTGATATATATATATATATATATATATATATATATATATATATATATATATATATATATATATATATGGACGTGTGTGTGGACGTGTGTGTGGACGTTTGTGTGTGTGAACGTGTGTGTGTGTGTGTGTGTGTGTATGGACGTGTGTGTTTGGGAGGATGAGTTTGGCTTAGTTTTACATTTCATACAGTACAAATGACACGGGCATATCAATATAACAAATACATATATTAATATAATAGTCTACAAAAGACCATACAAAATGCCCAAAGTGATTCAGTGATTTGAACTAAAATCCGTGGTGACAAGTAATTAAATAATGGGGAAAAAATATCTTCACATTCTCATTCGAGGTTATCAGCCAAACAATTCCTGCTTTAAAAAAGAAATTCTACTGAATAGAAAAATAAACCGGGAGTAATCTCCCCTAAACTTTCTAGAGTATTCTTATATAACACTACGGGGGATGGCATCTCGGGACATAGACGTGATTTTTACAAGTTTTTATTAATCAATTTTTAGTTACTAAAACTTTGAAAAATAAAATAGAATCTCGAAGAAAATAGAATTGAGCACCAAGTGACGCCAAACAATAGGTGTATAATAGTGCGGAATAGTATTAGTCTAATACTACTAAAAGTCAAGTTTGTATACATGTTTGAATATTTATTTGTTTGTTTTTTTGTTTGGCTGATCGACTATTGTGATATGCTCTACTCTATCTGGAGAGCTGTAAAATAGTATGTAGGTAGAGAATAATTTTTTAATGCAGACAGACTGTTAATCACACATTTATTTAAAGACGTTAATTAATTTATTGATTTATTCATAGGTATATTAACCACAATTTTTTTAAAAGCTTTGAAAAGCCACTACACTCGACGGAAACAGTGACGTCACATGATGTGTTTATTTTTTTACATCGATAATGGCGGCCTATCGAAGAAGATTGTGTTCCCATTCCAATGTTTAACGCGTTCTAAAGCTAATTTTCTGTCGGCTTTAACTTAAACAATACGTCCGTTTGCTGTATTTATTACGTTCCAACACTTATATCAATTTTAAACTGTCTTTTTTCATTTAGTTTTACAATAAATTTCTGTAGATCTAAACATCAGCTGTCGAAGGAAAGTTATGAATCTAGCCTAGATCTAGATCTAGCCTAGATCTATGTCACTAGACTCAATGTAAATTCTAGATCTAGACTTAATGTAAATTCTACATCTACAATCTATTTCAGGCCTTAATACATCTAAAATCTATTTCAGGCCTTAATTATTTTATATAAATCTTTGGCTAATTTAAGATAAAATTTAATTTGAAAGTTACTACTACTAGACTTAGATCTAGATCTATGCGCGTAAATCAAGTTGCATAAGGTTTGGAAAAATAAATTGAAAGGTTGAGGGGGGTTCAAATCGAAAGTTTGAATGGGGGGGGGGGCGGGGGGGGGGGGGTGCACATCAAAAGTTTGAGGGGGCGGGTCGCAAATCGAAATCTTGCGGGGGGGGGGTTTCAAATCGAAAAGTTTGTCCCCGGGCGCCGGGAAGGGTCGCTATACCTCTGAGTGATAGACGTGATGTTTTTTGATGGATGACCCCCCGAAACCCACAGTTATCCAACGGATGACGGGTATTCTAGTACTTTATAAAGTCACCTGAGGTTGTTTTTTTAAGAATTCGGAAAAAGCGTAAATTACTACTTCCGGTCATCAGAAATTACTCAAAATTCAATAGAAGTCAGAGGATTAGATTTTTACTTACATGTGAAATTTAATTTATCTATCTGAAATAGTACTCAAGTTATGGGCTTTTAAAAAATTGAAAGTAGAATATGTCCCACTTTCGGTTATCGGAAATCGCTGAAAAGTTGATACAGAACTACAAATATAATACTTATATATGAAATGTCATCAACCTAGCTGTAATGGTACTCAAACTATCGTGTTCACATACACACATACACACATACACACACCGACATACGGACAGATTGCAAAACCCAGTTTTTCCGACTCAATTATGCATAAAACGTCTAAATTTTGTTAAAAACTATATTTATTACTTTTTCCGATTAAAATAAGTCCCATATCCTTAGTGTTACGTCCCTTACATGCCCCCTGCTTGTGTGTGTGTGTGTGTGTGTTGTGTGTGCTGGAATGACAGGTTCCACTTTTTGTGTATAGTTGTATCCCTTGGTTGAGTGTGTTTACATTGAGCGAGAGGTGTTCACGTGAGGTGTGTCAGGTGACGGGTGTCAGAGCGTGTGCTAGGGTGTGTGGCGGTTGGTTGTAGTGTGGCTGTGGACGTGGCTGACTGGCTGTGGCTGTGGACGTGGCTGACTGGCTGTGGCTGTGGACGTGGCTGACTGACTGTGGCTGTGGACGTGGAATGTGGTGTTGAGTATTGTTATTTGTGTTGCAGATCACTTTTATCTTTTACTAGCCGTCGGTACCCGTTACACGCGAATTCTAGGCCTATATATTTTAATGTTAAACTTGTTTGAGAAAAATATTTTATAAAATAGTTTTTGTTCAAAACGCAATGTGCTTTACTACACGTGGGATGATATATTGATATTAGTAACAAAGCAAATAAATAACTAAATAGGTAAAAATCCGATACATTTAAAATAACATAGGCTACCAATACCTATAACAAATACCAAATTATATACATATTAGTCAACACAACGCCATATTGAATGCACACATTGATTTAAAAGACTTAAATGATACTGTTAAAAACCCGGCTGTTCAATGGTATTTATGTAGTTTTTTAAAGCAATTTGCATTACTTTGGGCCGAGAAAATGGTATACATTTCATAGCGTAGGCCTACGTCTTGATAAGTAGATCACGAGATTTAAACCAAATTTGAATGAAATAGTTAATTTCTTCATATTCTAAAATTGGAAGATGACGCCATTAGTTGTGAGTACTTTCCGTAGTTTAAACATGTGACATGTGACGTCATTGTTGTATGCGTTCTCGGCACAACCATAAACACATTTCCGGTTGCATGATTATACACGTGTTTGTACATTTGAAAATGGCATTATTTTTACTTTCTCGTATTTACGAAATATAGAAAAAGTCTTGTAATCGTGCAAAAAAAATCAAGATTTTTACAAATCTCGACGTTTTACACGTCACTGATACGGAAAAACATAATTTTGCAATCTTGTCCGTATGTTTGTGTGTCTGTGTGTGTGTCTGTGTGTCTGTGTGTCTGTGTGTCTGTGTGTGTAAACACGATAACTTGAGTACCGTTACAGCTAGGTTAATGAAATTTCACATATAAGTATTTTGTCAAAATAGTAGATCAGTATCACCTTTTGAGCGATTTTCGATAACCGGAAGTGGTACTTTTTCTACTTTGAATTTCTCAAAAGCCTATAAGTTGAGTACTATTTCAGATAGATAAATGAAATTTCACATGTACGTAAAAGATCGAATTCTCTACCTTCTGACAAATTGTGAGTAATTTCCGTTGACCGGAAGTACTAATTTACGCTATTTCCGATTTCGCAAAAAACGCATGTAAAATTATAAAGTACTAATAATATTGCGCACTATTATGCACATTTCATTTGGCGTTGACTTGGTGTGCAATTCTTTTTTCTACGAGATTTTATTCTATTTTAAAAACTAAGTATTTAAAATGGAGTTCCTATCAAATGTTGTTTTATATAAGAATATTCAAGAAAGTTTAGGGGAGATCACTCCCAGTTTATTATTTTTATTCTTTAAATAAAATTTAGTTTATACATTTAAAACATCCAACATATTATTTTCAACAAAAGTCAGTATCTTTAAGTTCTCCATATATCGCTGAACATGCTGAGGACGTTGCCAAAAAATGTTGCTGACAGAGATGTATTTGGATGACTTTATTATTGTATATATTATTATGTATTACATCTCTTATTATTATTATTATTATTATTATATAGTGTTAGTGTTATCTACTGTTGTATACGTCGTATTTGTCTGATGCTATAAACCCCTGGACATAGACATTGAGGAACCCAACACTTTGTATATGATGAAGTACTTAAGTGTAAAACGATAAAAACAGTCAAGATTTCATGTTATTTTTGTGTATGATTACAATACTTCTTCTATACTCTGTATACGGGAAAGTAAAAACAATTCCTGCTGAAATTTAAATAATAAATACATAAAAACGTTTATAATTACAAGCTTTTATAAATGCACTAAAAAGAAGAAAATAATACAATTTTTATTAAATATAAATAATTTTTAAAAATATAATAAATCTGCGGTTACTTTAAATATAAAATTACTTTCTTTAAATATATTAATGCACTACTATTTATATCACTATAAATAAAAGCGTGGGTCGCTATAATGTTTTAGTGGGCGTATTCAGTTGCAAATCAATATAAATACCATTGGTGTATGTGGCATTTTGTGTTTAAATATATATATATATATATATATATATATATATATATATATATATATATATATATATATATATATATATATATATATATATATATATATATATATATATATATTCAAACTGTGGATTTAGGAAGGATGAAGCATGCATCAATCTACACAAGTACGTACCACTGATTAACATTATACCCTTTTAATTTATAGAAGTATTTCAGTATTGGTGTGTTTATTTATTTCATTTATTTATTATTTATTATTTAGTGCACATTAAATATTTATGTAGTGCTTTTATATTTACAGACGGGCCTACATATTTCATTGTTTAAATACTTATTATTATAGCGACCCACGCTTTTATTTATAGTGATATAAATAGTAGTGCATTAATATATTTAAAGAAAGTAATTTTATATTTAAAGTAACCGCAGATTTATTATATTTTTAAAAATTATTTATATTTAATAAAAATTGTATTATTTTCTTCTTTTTAGTGCATTTATTAAAGCTTGTAATTATAAACGTTTTTATGTATTTATTATTTTTATACTTTTTAGTATTAACGTGTTATACGCATGTTAAGACAATATAGTGAAGCAACAAATATATGATACACAATTTGAAAAACAGTTTTGCTTTAATAATATGATTAGTTTTACTATACGTGTCACATTTACTGATTTTTTGTTACTTTTAAAAAATTGCCACAATTAGCTGAACACATATCTTAAAACACAAATCGTTAACACTTCTTTAACTGAAGACATTAATACTGTTCAGTCTGTGGTCAAGTTTATAGCTAAAGTTTGAGTTGACTTAAAGTGTTCTTCAGTCTATTTAGCTCGGATAAAGCTTCGTTGTTGCAGGGTGTCTTTCCTGTCAGTTTTCTGCAGTCCAGTTCTTCTATACGAAGGCCGTCCAATGAGCGAACCCTACTCAGTGCCACATAAGCTTGCCCTGCTTCAAACAGCTTCGGCCCCAAATACACGACAGCGTGATCTACTGTACAGCCTTGCATTTTGTGTACAGTTGATGCCCATGACAGTATTAAGGGTAACATTCTTCTCTCAGCAGTTCCGTAGTTGTACTTGGCAGAAAATTGCACTGATTTTGGCTTAACTTCATGTACACCATCTTTGCCGAAATCAATTCTTACTGAAGGTATGTCTGTGTCATAAATTTGGGCACGGCGAAAATGTGGCCATATAATATCTGTAATATACCCAATAGCGCCATTTACTAATCCCTTCGACACGTCAATGTTCGATCGAAGCATGACTTTTGCTCCAACAAAAATCTCAATTGTTCTTGGTAGACCACCCGTTTTATTGATGTCTGTGGGAAATAGTGTATGTATGTCAACATTATCTGTGTTTCTTGTGGCATCAATCAACTGGTCCTGGGCTTTTATCCTAATTATATCGGTGTTAATAGATCTAAAATACTGCAGCACAATTTCATTGTGCGTATTGACTTGCTCATTTGTTGGGTATATGCGCAAAGCTTTATCAATGCCAAAGTCTCCTGTTGGTTTGTTTTCTATAAGCTTGTCAGTCAGGGTTGCAAAATGTTCAGCGCTCATTTCACCAACCCTCAACGCATTCAACATGTTTCTAAAGGTATCATCTCCTTGCTGCCTCATGTTTTGCGATAGTTCACACAGGGAAAATAGTCGCCATAAATGGGTGGATGGTTGAAGATAGTCGGGCTGTTTGTAAACAGGTGTATTAACACCCTGTCTGATTGGTGGCAGCTGCATTAGGTCACCAAACAGCAGTACATTAATGCCTCCGAAAAACTCATCGTAATTATTCTTCAGCTGACGGATGCGCATGTCGATCATACAAAGCATCTGATAGGATACCATCGATATCTCATCTATTATGATACACTCGACATTTTTCCATTGTGTTCGCATGACTCTGAGGTAATTTCCTGTCAAAGGACACATGTTGGCACTCCGACCGTCTCTTTGAACCGGGAGTTTCAGTGTGCTATGGAGAGTTGAGCCCCCAATTAATCGGGCTGCGACCCCAGTTAGAGCCGAGACGATGACGGCATTTTTCGCAAAGCATCGATTGATCTGAACTCTGAGCAGGCTCAGGATAAATGTTTTGCCAACACCAGCTCCACCAGTAATAAAGAGTTTCAGCCTTTCACTGCCTCCATCTAGTTGTTTAATGACACTTTCGGTCACCTTTCGAAACAAATGTCGCTGGTCTACGTTCATTGCTTTTTGTGCCGAGCTGAACTTTTCCTCATCAACTGGTATATCGTGGGCCTCTTCTACATAGTCGTCTTCCAGATGAGCTGGTGTTGCTTCTTCAAGAATTTGAAGTGCGTAAAATTGGTTAAAAGCATTCTCCAATTGCTTGTCACGTTCGCGATACAACTCCATATGTGCATTTGTTATTTTTAGATTTTCTTCGTTAGCCAAAAATGCTTCTCTCGCTGTGGCGAAAGCATTCAGTAGCTCTTCTTCTCTGCGGTAGGGAGTGTACTGGAGTAGAAGGCTATAAAAGTAATTTTCACCATCTGTCGAGGCTACAAAGTAAGGTACTCTTACAACAGCTGGCAATTTTCTTATGGTCATTTTGCTACCGTCTATAAGAGTAATTAACCTCCTTTTAGTGCGCTGTTCGGTTTCATATGCATCCTCGTCAATATTTAATGTCATAGCATCTTGTTGCTTTGCATAGTAGGGCTCAAATAGCATTGCGAACTCAATCAAGCACATTTGGTTGAAATTGTAGTCTGCGTGTTCCAGGGGTCTTTTTTCATAGCGATCAAAAATATTGGCACAATATCCAGTTGATTGGCCAGACTCGTGAAATTTAAGTACTATGTACCTTTGTTGTGGCTGTCGAGTATTCAAGAAGATACATTTGCGTGAGCTGTCTCTGACATTGAGGTGACATAATCTGTACACACATTCACAGGCAGAAACTTGTCGTTCGTTCATTATTCTCATGCAAATCTTGAACAGTTTTCGAGACACATCTGAATCTTCCCTCTGGATTTCTTGAATTGCTTGTCTGATGGCAAGGGCTAGTTCCGTAGGCTCTGATTTGGCTATGTACTTCGCTATATAGTATGCAATAGATTCATTAGATCCACACGGTTGAATATCCATATTTGCACCCCAAATCTTTAAAAGAGTAGGATTGTAACTGTTTACCCATATATCATCCTGTCCTCTTTTTAACAAGCATATTCTTCCGCCATTTCGAATAAATTCATCAGATGTTTCTGCAATCATAGCAGTTGCAGCCTGAACTGGTCTTGGAAAACGAAACCGACACACTAGTGAAGGATTATCCCCTTTCTTGCAGGTGTTTGTATGACGGTGAATTTGACATTTTTTGACAAGTTCATACAAATCAGAACTTTCTAATGGGATCTCACACTTACATATTTGATCCAAAATTGCGATTCCCTCTGGCGTATCGAAAGAGGGATGGTTTTCAATCCACACTAACATATGTAAGTGGGGACTACCACGGTTTTGAAACTCGATTCGCCACCAGTAATCCTTCAAATGACCTCCAAACACCTCTTGGTTGTTCTTTACAAATTTCATTAGAGCGTTGAGTCGTATCATAAAATGCCGACTAACTACAACAGGAAATTGTTCAATCAATCGCTGTGTTTCATATGTGGTCAAATTGTTCGGATTCTCATCCGGTCTTCCGTCAGCCACTAACAAAGCTTTGCGCATGTCAAGCCAGTGTAAATCATTACAGCTCAGCGTTACAAAATACGTAGGTGGGCCCAGACATCGTATTTGTCCAATCAGTTCATTAAGTGCCGTTTGCCAATAGGCTGCGGTTCCACGAACATTTTTCAGATACAAATGAATATCTTCGACCTGACCATCTTGCCCTTGAACCAGTTTTCCACATGCAGAAATGGAAGCCTTCACCTTATAATATTCATACATAGACAGTGCATAAAAATAAATTATAGACTACTATTTAAATAACTGTAAAGAAAAGCGTGGGTCACTTTAGTATCTATTGGATACCTTTACTAATGTTAAGGAAGACACCCACGCTTTTCTTTATAGTTATTTAAATAGTAGTCTATAATTTATTTTCTACTTTTTAGTGCATCATTACATAAAAGCTTGTTATTAAAACGTTTTTTATGAATTTTTTTTCAGTACTTTACATGTTTTATTTACAATAGAGTTACATGACTAAAAACCATTGCGCGCCCACTGAACATCACGTTCAGTAGGCGCGCAATGGTTTTTGAACGCAGCCATTGAAGCTATTGAAGGTGATGACGCGTGTGGTGTGGTTGGCTAGACATGCCTACTAATTCGGTCCAAATTTTAATTAATTCATAAAAAATCAATTAGGCATCCAATTAAGTCAAATTTAGTTTCAGATTGCATTGTCTTCATGTCTTGACCCACGTGCCAACTGTGAATCGTGTCGGTCAAGTAGAAGTGTCCGAATTTTCACTCCTGCGTTTCCGTCTAGACTGACGACAGACTGTCGACAGACAGAGGAAGTGAGTTAAATAAAAGCTTGTAAAAAAAAACAAATTCCTTCTGAATATTTTTTTTTTTAATTTTATTAGGCCTAGTTCATTTTTTAAATATGTATATAATTGTATATATGTATATAATTGCTAATCCATGTTCAACGTGTTTTATGTACAGCTTTAAAATTTTTTAGTTTCGCTCGATGCTTGAAATTATGTCATCATTATTTTCCCGTTCGTGCCCAAGACACATGGGGCAGACGAAGTAGAGTTCATCTGCTACAGAGACCTCGGCAAATGAAGGGTAAGTGTGGTCAGCACTTTACCCAGCCGCCTTTGTTTCCCTATCGAAAGTTAAGTACCCATCAGAGCTGGGTGGACTCAGGGGCGCTCCACTGATTTTAGTCCCGGTTTCTGAATATGGATTCTCTTATGTGAACAGAATATGAATACATGATATCATCATAACTGCTATAGCCATAGATAAAATCAAGCTTTATACTGCGTTAAGTTAAGATCTGGGAATGTTGTATTGTTTTTGTTTGTCGTCATGTTTAGATTTAGAACTCAAGGAAGAGTTCTTAGCTTAGACAAAGACGGCTGACCACATACAGACCACACCACCGCTTCACTTATAGAACTCACAACAACATCTTTCCGAGTGAGCAAAGAACGTATTCTTGGTTCTAAAGCTCATATCGTCACTTCTAAAGACGTATATTCAGTGCCTGCTCTTCTTTATTGGTCAATAATAAAGTAGTGAAAGCTTGTTGATGTTACATAGAAAACAGAGGCGTGGCGAGAGGGGGGGGGGGGGGCGGGGGGACGTTTGTCCCTGGGCGCTGACCTTAGGGGGCGCCAAAATGGGTCGGAAAAATAAATTTAAAGCTTCTATGGGGGTGGAAATCGAAAGTGTAAGGGGGGGGGGGGTGTGCAAATCGTAAGTATGAGGGGGGGGGGGGGTTCAAATCGTAAGTCTGAGGGGGTGCAAATCGAAAGTTTGTCCCCGGGCGCCGGGAAGGGTCGCTACGCCTCTGATAGAAAATGTAACGACTCAACAATGCTTGATATAATTATAATCAAGCTGGCTACACCATTCACCGACATGTATCCTCTGGAGGAGTTAACCAAGGTCTAATTAAAGAAACAACAAACAGTGCTGCAACTAATTTCATTTAAACTCCTTTTCTAATTCCAACTATGCTTATAACGGTACTTGATTCTGCGAGGCAAACTGTTGTAGGAATGTGTAATTTTGGTGTTTGTTCTGATATGCTGGTAAACCTGTAGTTAAGATTTTTTGTGTCCTAAGGCCAGCTATTTTTCAGAATAACTGTTATTATGGCTATCTGTTATTAAGGCTACCTGTCGTTAAGGCTACCTGTCGTAAGGCTACCTGTTGTTAAGGCTACCTGTTCTTCAGGCTACCTGTTGTTAAGGCTACCTGTTCTTCAGGCTACCTGTTGTTAAGGCTACCTGTTCTTCAGGCTACCTGTTGTTAAGGCTACCTGTTCTTCAGGCTACCTGTTCTTCAGGCTACCTGTTGTTAAGGCTACCTGTTCTTCAGGCTACCTGTTGTTAAGGCTACCTGTTCTTCAGGCTACCTGTTCTTCAGGCTACCTGTTCTTCAGGCTATCTGTTGTTAAGGCTACCTGTTCTTCAGGCTACCTGTTCTTCAGGCTACCTGTTCTTCAGGCTACCTGTTCTTCAGGCTACCTGTTATTAACCCTTGTCCCTCAAGGAAAGTTGTTTCCTACATGCTGATCACATTACTATGAAAAAAAAAGAGAATAAACGCCTGAACTTGATTTATTATCAATTCTACAATGACGTGTTCGACTTTAAGAATGGCAGTCCCAGATTGTAATCCAGAGAGGGTGCAACATCCCCACCCTCCTCCACAAGTGTGAGAGCTGAACTCATGACGTACACGTTATCTTGGCCCTGGGGCTGGACACTGAGGCTGGGGTGGCAGTAAATTTTTCCCCTCGCTGGAAAAAACACATATATTGACACGTTTATAAATACACTATTATATTACTATCTTTTCTCTTACATGATAAAGAGAAAATTCAAATTACTTTTGAAAGTAATGAGATTAATTTCACTGCAATAAAAATAAGCGTATCTAATCTTTCTTTCTTTTGTGACATGTTTATATATATATATATATATATATATATATATATATATATATATATATATATATAAATATATATATATATATATATATATATATATATATATATATATGGAGAGAGAGAAAGAGAGAGAGAGAGAGAGAGAGAGAGTACCTACTCAAACAAGAAAGTGCTTCTTGAGTTCAGAAGATCTGTGACACGGAATACACCATCCCTTGGTGGCCCTAGGAAAGGATTGTTTCGTTGTGTTATTCAACAAGTTGTGGTTTTTAATATTTTGTAACAATTTTTATTGAACAAAGATAACTTAAATCAAATCTGTAAACGTTATAAACTTTATAAACGTTATAAGAGCTATAAACTTTATAAACGTTATAAACGTTATGAAATAAAAATAACTTATTTACAGCCATAGTAAATTTGACAAAAACACACTATAAAGCGAATGTTATTTTGAAATAATATTTTTGAGTTTTTAATAGGGTCGAATTGTGAGCCTTGTTAACGCCCCCCCCCCCCCGCCCTCGCATCCACGCACACACCCACACTGACGTGCTCTACATGACGATAGATCCGCCACTGTATTTATGGTCTGATGTCCCACATCATTCCGTGCACGGAAAATTTCCGACACCACACACATTTTAAGATGGCTTAACATCCAACTTACTTGGGCAGCAGAGGACAACAGCATCTTCGGTGACTGCCGGATCAACTTCAGTTCCGGCTTGAACGGCACATTGGCCGCTGACAACACGGTAGGAGTAGCAGTTGGGTGTAGCCACACAGTATTCAAAGCAGCTCTGTAGCCGATACAATGGCAAGATTTGTTAATTTTTTAACTCCATAGATGATACAATGGCAAGATTTGTTAATTTTTCAACTCTAACGTTTTCTAACATTGCTTTTATATAATACAAAAGTGTGACGTCGCACCATCTGAACCCCCCCCCTCCCCCTCATCACACACCGTCACAAAATTACGGACCCCCTTCCCCCCTACGAGTGTGACGTCATTTATGGACGACCCGCTTATCTGATATCGTCTGATTTTGACTTAATCTGTTGCTGTTGCTTTCTCGGTATATCTTCTTTATATTTCCCTCTCTTGCCGTTTTAGGTTCATAAAATTTATTTAAATGACTAGTTATGTCTGCAGCAGAGGCCAATTTCTATACCCACTCTTGCCTTTACTTTCAGGGAGTCACCTATTTCTTTTCCCAAAATACTCTGCTCAGAACATTCTGGCAAAATTAGCCATCATACTGATGTGAAATATGGTAAATCTTGCAATTTTGTGTTTGTCTCTGAACTATGGTTAGATATCCTCTCCGGTAACATTGTCATACATTCTACGTAGGGAAGCCAGCTCTTGTGTTATGTTCAGGTCTTCATCCACACCTCTAATGAACACAAGAAGTTGAGAGGTGGAACAGCTGCCCAGCGACTCACCCATTGCAATTGAAAAATGGCGTAACTTGCTTGCATTATTCGCTATTTGAGTCAGGTTGATTTCACCAATGTCTGCAACACGGCGGGCAATGGTATCTGCACCCAAAGCTACATTTTCAAATTGTTTTGAATTTTCTGTGCAAAGTTCCTCAGTCATCTCTAATAACTTTTACTCAGTTGACAAAAAGATCGTCGCGGACCGGATGAAATGACCTCGTGGGCCGCATCCTGCCCGCGGGCCGTAGTTTGGAGACACCTGATCAGTGGCGTAGCTAGGGGAGGACGGGTGGGGCGGCCGACCCGGACGCCGACCCCAAGGGGGCCCCAGAGTGAGTAGAAAAATAAAAAGCTCATTTTAAGCTGAAGCATTGAATTATACAACAAAATTTACGAAAATAAACGACTACAAGGCTTTACACACTGATTTAACTGTTCTCTAGACCGAGTTAGTGGCACGGAAATAGAAAATGTTACGGGATAGTAACTGGTAAGAAGCGCGACAAACCTCTCCAACTTGGGGGAAGGGGGAGGTAACAGGAATAACTATATATAGAAATGGAAGCAAGGGGTTAAAATTTATAGTCTGCCCCGGGCGCCGGAATGGGTCGCTACGCCTCTGCCCCTGATCTAAACAGTCGAAGTTCTGTCTAAATGTTCCATTCTGTTTGAGGAATAGATTCTTCAACATGAGAAAACTTTGATGTCTAGGATTTCTGTTCTTGTTTTATAAGAGAGAGGTTACAATTCACGTGTTAATAATGTTTCGTTTATAGAACCAATGGCAATAATAAAACATTTTTTTACAATAGTAAAGTTCCCTTTTAACTGACGTTCTACGGGGCAGGTGAAGTAGAGTTCACTTGTTTCTGTGACCTGGGCATATGAAGGGATAGTGTGGTCAACACAATGCCCAGCCGCCTTTACTTACCCTAACATGAGTTAGAGCTGAGTGGTCTACTGACTTGAACGGTGAACGGAAAAAAGTCACAGGAAAAAAACACAAAAAAATGTCACAGTTTTTGCTAGGAAAACAAGTCACAGTAAAAAAGTCACAGAAATAAAGTTACAGAAAAAAAAGTCACAAAATATCTTATAAGAAAAATTATGATTTAATTGTAGAAAAATTAGATATTGGTCAAAGCTGTGCTGAACATTGAAGCACACAACCACACACTGACGTAAGGAACATACCGACATGGATGTAACATACGGACATTTATGTAAGGAACATACGGACATTGATTTAAGGAACATACGGACATTGATGTAAAGAACATACGGACATTGATGTAAGGAACATACGGACATTGATGTAAAGAACATACGGACATTGATTTAAGGAACATACGGACATTGATGTAAAGAACATACGGACATTGATGTAAGGAACATACGGACGTTGATGTAAGGAACATGCGGACGTTGATGTAAGGAACATACGGACGTTGATGTAAGGAACATACGGACATTGATGTAAGGAACATACGGACGTTGATGTAAGAAACATACGGACGTTGATGTAAGGAACATACGGACGTTGATGTAAGGAACATACGGACATTTATGTAAGGAACATACGGACATTGATGTAAGGAACATACGGACATTGATGTAAGGAACATACGGACATTGATGTAAGGAAAATACCGACATTGATGTAAGGAACATACGGACGTTGACGTAAGGAACATACAAACATTAAGGAACATACGGAACTAAAAAATATTTTTGGAATGAAAATATTCTTACTTGGTTCGTATTGACACTTGCTGGGGCATTAATCAAGTCGATGTTCCCATATGCCTTACACTCACCTACATAAACACATATATATATATAGAGAGAGAGGTTTTTAGTTATGTATGTTAGCGTACATGGATATTTTTTAAACTTAATATAAACAAGTATTACTACCTTTGATTGTACATTCCTTTTCCTATAATTTAATAATGTATTATGTCTCAATGTAAGTTGGCATATTGGAAGGGGGAAGCTAAAATATTTGACCTACCCTGGACAACAGGCAACAGCTGAAACAGCAAAACAGGTAGAGGCGGAGCACAGCAAGCCATGGTCCTCCACACTTCTACAGCTGGAAATACAGTGTTGTACGACTAAGCTAATCTCAAACCTAACACCAGAACATTTCAGATAATCCCAAACCTGACACTAGAACATTTCAGATAATCCCAAAACTAACACCAGAATATTTCAGATAATCCTAAATCTAGCAATGGGATATTTCAGATAATCCTAAATCTAGCAACAGGATATTTCAGATAAAATTAAATCTAGCAACAGGATATTTCAGATAATCCTAAATCTAGCAACAGGATATTTCAGATAATCCTAAATCTAGCAACAGGATATTTCAGATAATCCTAAATCTAGCAACAGGATATTTCAGATAATCCTAAATCTAGCAACAGGATATTTCAGATAATCCTAAATCTAGCAACAGGATATTTCAGATAATCCTAAATCTAGCAACAGGATATTTCAGATAATCCTAAATCTAGCAACAGGATATTTCAGATAATCCTAAATCTAGCAACAGGATATTTCAGATAATCCTAAATCTAGCAACAGTATATTTCAGATAATCCTAAATCTAGCAACAGGATATTTCAGATAATCCTAAATCTAGCAACAGGATATTTCAGATAATCCTAAATCTAGCAACAGGATATTTCAGATAATCCTAAATCTAGCAACAGGATATTTCAGATAATCCGAAATCTAGCAACAGGATATTTCAGATAATCCTAAATCTAGCAACAGGATATTTCAGATAATCCTAAATCTAGCAACAGGATATTTCAGATAATCCTAAATCTAGCAACAGGATATTTCAGATAATCCTAAATCTAGCAACAGGATATTTCAGATAATCCTAAATCTAGCAACAGGATATTTCAGATAATCCTAAATCTAGCAACAGGATATTTCAGATAATCCTAAATCTAGCAACAGGATATTTCAGATAATCCTAAATCTAGCAACAGGATATTTCAGATAATCCTAAATCTAGCAACAGGATATTTCAGATAATCCGAAATCTAGCAACAGGATATTTCAGATAATCCTAAATCTAGCAACAGGATATTTCAGATAATCCTAAATCTAGCAAAAGGATATTTCAGATAATCCTAAATCTAGCAACAGGATATTTCAGATAATCCTAAATCTAGCAACAGGATATTTCAGATAATCCGTTATTTAGCAACAGGATATTTCAGATAATCCTAAATCTAGCAACAGGATATTTCAGATAATCCGAAATCTAGCAACAGGATATTTCAGATATTATAGCATGGGTGATACTAGTCCTACCGTAAAAACGGAACGGTGTGGCCAAGTGGTAGAGCACAGAAATTGCTAACCTAATAGTCTAGTGTTCAGATCTCTCACCAGAGTAAGTAAGATTTACTAAGTCTGCTCAGCTCTGATGGGTACCTAGCTTTTGTCAAAAAATATATATAGCTGTCTGGACGTAAAGCTGACTAGACTGTGACGTCAACCGTATAGATCCTAGACAGTTCTCAAAATAAATTTGACACTAACGATTTCCACAGCCTTCATCATCCACTCAGTCGAACCAGCTGACCTACACTATACAACAGGTTATTACTTTAGCTGATGTACTTATTTAAGGGCAGACGGAGAATAGTTAACAAACTGGTGTACTTATTTAAGGGCAGACTGAGAATTGTTAACAAACTGATGTACTTACTTCACGCTTGCAGGACAGACTAAGGATTGGCCACTCACGGGATATGTATTTGATAGTTGAGGTGTATCACGCCCCCCCCCCCCCGCGCCGGGCTATAACCTAACCCCAACCCACAATCCCAGCCCCCGGGCTATAAACCAACACCAACCTAAATCCGAGTGTTATGTTTGATTTCAAAGTTGATCAAACATTTATAATACTATAAAACCAGAGATTTTTATTTTTATTTGATTTGTTATCTTCACAGTGCATAGAAACATAAATAGCCATTGCTAGGTTTTAAAACACGTGTTTGTCCAAACAACCACAGCATGCCAAATGTGGTATGTCACACACCCACACCATCCAATATTTCACACAATCACACCATCCTAAGTGTGGTCTACCACACAATCACAGGATCCAATATTTCACACAAACACACCATTCCACGTGTATCCTCTCAAACAACCACACAATTCCACCCTTTGTTTTTTTTGTCTGTAACACAACAAACACCATCCCACATGTGGTCTATCACACAACCACACCATCCCCATCTCTGAAGTTTTACGGCAATTGAAGTTTGTTTTGTTAGAAGAGATTACTATTACTATTTGAAACTTGTGGAAATAATGTCCTACATTTTTAAATTTTAGTCAAAGCCTTGATCCATTCCTGTAGGCAGTGTTACTATTTATAGAACATTCTACAGGCTGTCATATTTTGTACACGTGTGTGCCAAAGGTGAGCACTCGAAACAGATCAAAGTAAAAAATACAATGACGTCATACGTTAGCGTTATATAACATTCATGTTATCAAAAAGATTTTAACTGATATTATATTTACATTCAGTTATTTTTTATCTTTCCTTTCTTTACTGAATTCCGAATACACTTATAAATAACGTTGATCTGTATTTGTTGAATGATGAATGTTGTATGTATTGCTATCTGCTAATCGCTTGAAGTAAGGTATAATCTTTTTATCGTCATCACTAGCTTAACACCCACATTACTGTTTACCACTTATCGTAATATGTCGAAAATGTTTAAATGTGTGGCTAAAAATAGATTTATAGCTTTCATCTGTTTGACAATATAGGTCAAAGTTAGAGAGTGGGGGGGAGTTGAAAGGGAGGCAGTTCATAAAGGGTGGGGGTGGGGGGGTGTACATGTATCATAGGTGGGGGCGGGGGTGTACATGTATCATAGGTAGGGGTGGGGGGTGTACATGTATCATAGGTGGGGTTGGGGGGTGTACATGTATCATAGGTGGGGGTGGGGGTGTACATGTATCATAGGTGGGGGTGGGGGTGTTCATGTATCATAGGTGGGGGTGGGAGTGGGGTCGTACATGTATCATAGGTGGGGGGATGTATCCAAACCACATCACCTCCACCCCCTCTCATCCACCCTCACAAACACATTTAGAAAACAGAAACATTCTACGATATCTTTTTTTGTACTTTTACGATTCTGCATCATCTAGAAACAGTTTTCTGATTGATCTATGATAGTTCTGCTACCAATTTATCGAGTATGAAACACACAAAAAATATTCAGCACAGATAAAAGTAATCTATATCTTAAAGATGACAAACTATACAGTGTAGTAAACTATTATTTGTGAAATATGATTGCTTATTTATGTTTATTTATATTAATGAATCGAAGCCTAAGATATTTTATATATATATATATATATATATATATATATATATACATTATTTATACAACTTATATATATATATATATATATATATATATATATATATATATATATATATATATATATAACGCCATTTATTCTGTAAGATTTTATTTACAAAAGCACTACCACGTATCTATAAAGAACATTTTAACAAACCGGTAACTCTCATTTAAACATTTTATCATTACTCTCTCGGATTAGACTTCTCCTGTTTGTTCCAGAGAGTTAAACCTATAATGTCCTGCACAACCAAACCTATAATGTCCTGTACAGCCAAACCTATAATGTCCTGCACAACCAAACCTATAATGTCCTGCACAACCAAACCTATAATGCCCTGCACAACCAACCCTATAATGCCCTGTACAGCCAAACCTATAATACCCAGCACAGCCAAACCTATGCTACCTAATATAGCGAATCCATTCTAACTGGTTTAAACATTGTTGTGTCAGTCAATTTGACGAGAGTGTATTTGTATCACCCGTAGCAAACTGTGTCTGTTTCACAGACTTGTGACGTCACTGCACTTAAATAAAATAAAACGGACTGCAGTACATTATTTCGTTCTACTTACATGTAGTACAATGGTTGGTAGTGTTTACCTGTAGTACATTGTTTAGTAGTGTTTACCTGTAGTACATTGGAAGTGTTTGCCTGTAGTACATTGGTTGGTAGTATTTACCTGTAGTACATTGGTAATGTTTACCTGTAGTACATTGGTAGTGAGTACCTGTAGTACATTGGCAGTGTTTACCTGTAGTACATTGGTAGTGTTTACCTGTAGTACATTGGTAGTATTTACCTGTAGTACATTGGTAGTGTTTACCTGTTGTACATTGGTAGTGTTTACCTGTAGTACATTGGTAGTGTTTAACTGTAGTACATTGGTAGTGTTTACCTGTAGTACATTGGTAGTGTTTACCTCTGGTACATTGGTAGTGTTTACCTCTGGTACATTGGTAGTGTTTAACTGTAGAAAATTGGTAATGTTTACCTGTAGTACATTGGTTGGTAGTGTTTACCTCTGGTACATTGGTAGTGTTTACCTCTGGTACATTGGTAGTGTTTAACTGTAGAACATTGGTAGTGTTTACCTGTAGTACATTGGTTGGTAGTGTTTACCTCTGGTACATTGGTAGTGTTTACCTGTAGTACATTGGTAGTGTTACCTGTTGTACATTGGTTGGTAGTGTTTACCTGTAGTACATTGGTTGGTAGTGTTTACCTGTAGTACATTGGTAGTGTTTACCTCTGGTACATTGGTAGTGTTTACCTGAGTACATTGGTAGTGTTTACCTGTAGTACATTGGTAGTATTTACCTGTAGTACATTGGTAGTGTTTACCTGTTGTACATTGGTAGCGTTTACCTGTAGTACATTGGTAGTGTTTACCTGTAGTACATTGGTAGTGTTACCTGTTGTACATTGGTTGGTAGTGTTTACCTGTAGTACATTGGTTGGTAGTGTTTACCTGTAGTACATTGGTTGGTAGTGTTTACCTGTAGTACATTGGTAGTGTTTACCTGTACTACATTGGTAGTGTTAACCTGTAGGACATTGGTTGGTAGTGTTTACCTGTAGTACATTGGTAGTGTTTACCTGTAGGACATTGTTTGGTAGTGTTTACCTGTAGTACATTGGTAGTGTTTACCTGTAGGACATTGGTTGGTAGTGTTTACCTGTAGTACATTGGTAGTGTTTACCTGTAGGACATTGTTTGGTAGTGTTTACCTGTAGTACATTGGTAGTGTTTACCTGTAGTACATTGGTAGTGTTTACCTGTAGTGCATTGGTTGGTTTGTTTACCTGTAGTACATTGGTAGTGTTTACCTGTAGTACATTGTTTGGTAGTGTTTACCTGTAGTACATTGGTTGGTAGGGTTTACCTGTAGTAAATTGGTAGTGTTTACCTGTAGTACATTGGTTGATAGTGTTTACCTGTAGTACATTGGTAGTGTTTACCTGTAGTACATTGTTTGGTAGTGTTTACCTGTAGTACATTGGTAGTGAGTAAGTATAGTACGTTTTGGTTATGTTTACCTGTAGTACATCTTTCACGTGATGTTACTACAAATGATGTTTCATCAAATGATGTTTGATCAAATGATGTTTCATCAAATGATGTTTCATCAAATGATGTTTCATGAAATGATGTTTGATCAAATGATGTGTTATATCTTGATGCAGCAAATGTGTACGTGTATTAAAAAGACATTAAAGTATTGCTAGATGATAGTGCTGATCTCTTATCTGTCTTGCGAGCACTACATCAATGAATGAAGCCTGTTCTATCGCGTACATCTCAAGCCACTAAAGGGATAGCCCGATTTGTTTTATACCTGTAACCAAACAAATCATGAGACTTCATCAAACGACAAAATTTATGACGTGTATCGGTGGCTTGATCTACACAGTTCAAGGAGTTAAGGGTTTTCGTTTGAGAGGCGAATGTACACGTGTAATCAAAGAAACGCTCAGGCAAATCGAACAAAGAAAGAAACGTAAACAAAAAAGAACAAATCCTGACGTAATATAAATCTTTGAAATATTGAACAAAAACTGAACGGTGACAAAATTATTTGGAATTTGAACCCAAGTTTTGTTGAGTTAGTTTTAGTCAAGAGTATATATATATATATATATATATATATATATATATATATTCTAAGTTAAATAATATCGGCTTACTTGTGTTTATGTGCATTCCCGTTCCCGTGCAAACGTCTGAATGTATATGACTGTTTAAAGTGCAGCGTAAATAATTTTTTTTATTTCAGTAACAGGTCGTGCTATCTGATACACTAAGACATAACGTAGACATTTTCAGTTTCCATGGATACAATACGTAAACACATTTTACTGATTATAACACTCCAAACTGGTAGGTTAAACAAAGAGCCAACACTATAGCCCCACGTTTATAGTCGGCACAGATCCAGTTGTGCAGCCTTCAACTAATGACACAACCACACTAAGATTTTTTTTTAATGCAATAGAAATTGATCGTTACAATCTTTGCTGTAAAAACACAAACCCTTTTTATTGACAGAATGTAATAACTGTTAAATACTACAATCTGATAACTTACAGCACTTTATCAAGGTATGCGGTTGAATATACAACATCAAACTTTAAAAAAATGATATAAAAGAAAATGTGAAAGAAAGATGCTTATTTTGAATACATTTTATTGCATTTCGTTTTATTTCCTTTTTGACAGAAAACATGTTATATAAGATAGCTACAATGCCACGTTAAAGAAAACTTCAAATGGAATAGAAAATTGATTTCAATAAATATAACATGTTTTAATCACTGATGAAATGTAAGTTAAGTTAAAAAAAAA